ACTTTTTTTTAAAAAATTAACATTTTTTTTTTTAATTTTAAAAATAAAAAATTTATGAAATTTTTTTTCTATTAACTTTTTTCTAAATTATAAAAATGAAAAAAATTGTATAAAATACCTTTTAGATTAACATTTTTCTAAATTAAAAAAATTTATAAAATACCTTTTTAATAAAAATAACATTTTTCTAAATATTAAAAATTAAATTAATTTATAAACCACTTTTTTAATATAATTAACATTTTTTAAATTTTTGAGAATAAAGAAATTTATAAATTTTTTTTTTTGTATAGAATAAACATTTTTCTAAATTTTACAAATTAAAAAAAAATATATTTTTAACAATACCAGTTATCTCAAACTGCACATAGAGATCATGATGACTAAAATCCATTACAGTATCTAATAATATTGGCAGTATATTAACATACACTTCAGGTACAAATGAGAACAAGGGACCAAGCTGTGAGGAGGCCTTTAAGTAAAAAATATAACAAAAATCATTTTATTATACGAAATTTTTTTATTTTCCAAATTGCATACATTTAATGTGTGCAGCGTTTTCTCCAATAACCACACAATGGTCATACGGCGTTGTTTGCCAAGCGCGACCGCACGATACCAGGTCTGCTTGCGCGCCAGTTCAATGGAACGTTTCTACAAAGCAGTCAAATATTGTTGAAAATTTTATTTTAGTTTCTTTTTACGCAATTCCACTCACCGCAAACACATTTTCACGCTGACTAAATTTCTGCTTGAGATCTGAAACTATACTGGAATGATTTTCGTTCATACAAACACTAGCATGATCCTCCAACACTTTCAATTTGCGTTCAACGTCCTCACGATAGAATTTGGTTTCGCGCAGTACCTCATTTAATGCAGCAATCTCATCACGCACTGATGAAATCTGGGTAATTATGGAAATTTACAGAATTAAAGTATTTTGTAATAATATAGAACTTTTAAATACAAAACTGTACCTTAACAATATACTTATGTCCGACCGAATAATAGTAGAGTACACAAATATCGAACAATTCTGAGAGCGAGCTCTCCGTATTGCTATTACCCGGCGATGCATCGGGCACAGGATTCAAACGCGGATTGAAGAAATGTGTAAAGGTGGCAGCAGGACTGAAAACCAAAAAAAAAAAAAAATAGTATAAAAACAAAAATTACTAAATATAGATTTACCCTCCCTGAGCGCCTACTATTGCGATATTATTAAGATTTGTCGTTGTTAGAAACATACTTGGATCAACTGGAATAGGAGAAAAATGCAAAGCATATGTGCATAACTATTTTTTTATGCTGTAAATTACCTAACTCGCCCACACGCATTATGGTACGATCCTCTTCTAATAACTCATGTGCGCGTTCCGTACCCAAATGTGTCGATATATCATTGCGATGCACCTTACGTAAATGCGACAGCACACCACCCACGCGATCGAAATGCTGATATTCGAATGTGCCATCAAAAAAGTACTCCGGCTTAACCTCGATTGGCGCGACAGGCAATTCACGCTCAAACAAAAACTTCGTAGCATCTATGAGTATGCAAATAAATGATAACGCCACCGTAGAATCCATCGGATGCATTATGCTAGATTGCATAAGGAAGAACGAATGGAAAGGCTGTAGGGCAAAATGATATGGTATTGCAATTTACAGGCAAAATAATATGATCTTTTGTTTCTTTACTCGCTGCTCCATACTAAGATCCATAACGTAACGACGCAATTTGGCTATGAATATTTTTCGACTTGACGGCGCCAACTCGTCACCATCTGTGTTAGTGAGTAATAGCATGATGAGGTTCTTCTGCGCATTGTAAAGGCTTTCGGTGGCTTTAGCTATTTTTTCAACTAGCGCCAGATATTTTTGCTTTGGACCGCCAACGCCTGCTAAGTGAATAAATAAGTTGAAATAATATTCGAATTGATGCATTTTTTTAACACACAAACCCTCTGTCCAAACAATCGGATCGGGCACCAGCTGCTGCATATACTTATATTCAGGTGGACGTATATACATTAGTAAAGCCAAACTAGAAAATATCTATGTTATAGCATAAATGTAGCGAGTAAGGCTTAAATAAAATTGATTACCTATGTTTTTTGAAAAATTTATACTCCAGATATGTTTTTCGCGTTTGTGTATGCGTACATATGCAGGTGAGTATCGTGATAGCATGCTTTTGCTTCTCATAATCCAGACCGGTATGTGTATGTGTATATGAGGACAACAATGCATTCACCAATTTACGCATGATAAACTTCACTTCCTCATTTTCCAAATAATTCCACAATATAGATAGCAGCGCACCCAATGTGCTTTCAGGTGTGCCCGGTAATATAGCTGGATCCTTATCGGTAGCACTATGAACAAGCATTATTAATTAATTAAATATTTTCACTAATATATAAATATTAATTAAGTGTTCACCTACTTTATAATCGTACACAATCTTATAATATGCGGCAGTAATTTGTCCTCGATGACGTATGTATCAAACAGCACTTGGGTAAGCTTCTCAATAAGCAGTGTTGCAAACACAACATACACTGTCTTCTTAGTAGATATTTTACCTTCAATATAATCCTTTTTCTTGCACGTAGGATTGTGTGCTAACACAGATGACAAATTTACCAAATAACCAAGCAAGAGATCAGCCTTTTGTAAGCGTACAATAGGTTTCGCTTGTATTGGCATAAAACCTTCCACAGGATATTTAAAGGGCATATTGCCGAAATTTACTTGTACACCTTGATTATAACCAAGTGAAACGGCAGGAAAAAATGAAATACCAGGACCGCGTTCTAGTTTAGAGAAAGCAACACCCATCGTATGGCCATTGCGATAATATTCTATTTTTTCATTTTCAACATCAACTATAACACCAATTATATCACCAATTTGCCATTTATCGCCATACCTAAAATGTAAGAAATAAATGTTTTAATGAATTCTTTAAGAAGTTTATAAGGAATTTCATTCAATTTTGTTGTATTTTAAGTATATTTAAGTATCCATAAGCTTCAAACATATACATACATACATATATTCGTCTACTTACTTTGAAGTGGAAATATGCCATATCTGTTGTTTGCTACCATCATAACCATAACTCCATTTGGTATCGCCAACGCCGCTATTTTCATTAAAAGTGCATTTGTTGGAGCACCAACCGATTTGCATTACGCCTTTACTGTGAAGAAGCACCTATAGAATTTTTAAAAATATGTATGTATATCTCTAACATGAAATTTTTAAATGTCTAACAAAACATGAAATGATGTTAACTTCGGCGTCAACGAAGCTATAATACCTTTCACAGGTGCATTTTTTATAGCATAATAGGTGAATGAAAAGATCTTTATCTTGATTTTGTTCGATCAGTTTGAATGGCAGCTATATTCTATAGTGGTCCGATTTGAACAGTTTTTTTTTGAATATTTTGGCGTTGTCTTGAACAATAATCTAAGACATATTTGATTAAGATATCTTGTCAAATACAAAATCTTTCCATTCAGGGACTAATTTTTTATCCATCAATTTGTGTGCAGCTATATGCTAGAGTGGTTCGATCAGAGCGAGATTTATTCGGAGATTGTACTTGCCTTGGAAAATAATTCATGATAAATTTCAGAAGATATCTCGTCAAATAAGAAAGTTTTCCATACAAGAACATAATTTTGATCGTTCTTTGTATTGTAGCTATATTCTAGAGTGGTCCGATATGGACGGTTCCGACAAATGAGCCGCTTCTTAGGAAGAAAATAACATGTGCAAAATTGTAGATCGATATCTCAAAAACTGAGGGACTAGTTCTCGTATATACAAACAGAAGGACATGGCTAAATCAACTCTATGATAAAATTCACATATCTTTTGATTTTTCTCTCTGGTGGTTACAAACATCGTGGCAAACTTAATATCATCAATAAACGAATATCATAATCGTATCATGCTACAACTCGTAATTTAATAAAAGCGAAATATTAGCCGGTAAATGCACTATGGTCGTTAACCTACTTAGTAACACAACTAAAACTCAAGGTCATTACCCTTCGCAATTGTTCAATTAACTTTACCCACCACCCACCTCAAGGCGCTAATGAAGCATGGAATGTCATGTTTCTTGCGTCCCCAAAACCCCCTTCCAGCATATATTACTTTGCTTACCTCATACATCCAACGCCCACCATAAACGCAAACATTTGCTTTAATAGTATTGAAACTACCCTGTGAACGAAGCGATAGCCTATCGGCTGATATCCGTACTGTCGATGTAAAATCAATATCACAAATTGTCTGCTCTGGACCAAGCCTGGATACCATGTCCACGCGCTGCGTTTTTATTGCATGTGCACTATTTAATTCTATGACATTGAGACGCTCGTTTAGCCAATTCCGTACAATAACCATTTGTCTATAGTAAAATAACGTTTTTTATAGTATTGAATTAGAAATCAGACCTTCACTGCCGAATTGCCTTGAATTGAATTTGACCATCAATTGACCCTGAGGCAGAAGGCATTCATTTGGAATACTATTAAACTTACTCAGGCAATTTCATCTCTTCCAGTTTCGGTGGCTTTGGCATATCTTGAGAAGCTGAGCAGCCAGCCTCATCGTCATCATCCTCTGGCTGTTGTTTTTCAACCGTACTAATCTGTTCGAAAATATCCTCACCGAAAACTTTTACAAATAATTTTGCTATTGACATAGTTTTGTATGTGCACTGCTAATACATTTGTATTCCAAGCGTTTATTTGCTTTATTCCGGTAAATTTAATAAAAGAAAATATATTTTAAAAATGCTTAAAATAACGAATACGAATTTTGTTTACCTTCGAAATTTTGATTTATTGAAAAATGCTTCTTCTTTGTGAATGCGGTCAATCACAATAGGTTAACTTGTCATTATTAGACTTACAGTGAAGTCTTCATAATTACGTTATATATATATAATTTCTTTTCCATCTCATAATATTTTTTTGTTAAATTGTCGGGGTTACTATTTATGAAGGGCATTAAGCTTCTTCTTTTCTACCAAATTCAGTCGGAAGAAACTATATTACTGGTGTAATATTAAAAATTTCAAGAAGAATTCATTCAGATATATGGTCATATCTGGTTAGTTGGAACTAATATTTTTTATTTAAAAGAATTGTAAATTTGAATGATGTCCTTTACGGGTTTCGATCCGCTACTGAATAGTTAACCAGTCACACACTCAATTACTTATGCCAACAAATATGGTATATTTTGACACTTCGTACTTCTTCCAACTGGGAAATGTTCACAATGAATATAATTGACGACGTGTTTATTTTGCTGTTTCTTTTGAGTGTCAATGTGTGCAGCAGGTGAAACTTGTTTTGGATGAAATATTAAGGATTATTATTAACATATACAAAGTTAAACTATAAAATCGAAATGAGCGCTGATTGGGATGAAATTAAACGTCTGGCTGCTGATTTCCAGAAAGCCCAATTAACATCGACATTACAACGGTATTTGCTCGTAAAATAACTAAACAGAAATAATTTCCACCCATAAATATTTATAGGCTCTCGGAACGCAATTGCATTGAAATAGTTTCGCTATTGTTGGAAAAGAATTTGTTAAAAGCTTTTTTCACCAACGATGGCAAAGAGTATATTACACCAGATCAATTAGAACGCGAAGTGCAGGATGAGCTATATGTGAACGGGGGACGTATTAATCTTGTAGAAGTCAGCAAAACGCTCAATGTTGATTTGTCACGGGTTAGTCTAAAGCAATTGTAAATATTATAAAAGTAATGTTACACTAACAATTCTCATTTTTATATCTTTAGATGGAAGAGATCGCCGGTCGCATCGCGGAAAATGATCCTGAGATACATTTCATGTTAGGTCAGCTAATCAACGAGCAATACATCACACATATTGCAGAAGAAGCCAACGAACGCCTAGCACAGAGGGGAGAAATAACTGTTTCTGACCTGACACAACAATTTGACTTGCCTTCCGATTTTCTGCAGCATGATGTTATGGAAAAACATTTGGGCAAGATCATACGCGGTCGTCAAGATGCATCCAATCCCCGTGTCTTTTTCACTCAAGCATATATTCAACGTTGCAAAGCTAAAATACGTGGTGCCCTCAAAGCTATTACTCGTCCAACTAACGTAGCAAGCATTTTACAACAAATCAATGTGCAAGAAAAAATTTTTCATTCTTTATTTGATGAGATTGCGCCTGCCGGTCATGTGACATCTAAACAACCAAATGCACAATATATTCCAAATATTTACACAAAAATGCAAGTAAGTAAATAGTAAAACGAAGCATACTTAATATAAAACTAATCAACCTATTAGCGACAGTATTTTACAATAGTATAATATTTGAACAATTCTATCTTGTAGGCGGATTGGGTGAACTCATTTTATAAACAAAATGGCTTTCTGGAGTATGAGGGTATTGCAAAATTGGGTGTTTCTGATCCAAAACAATTTATACGGAAACAACTGCCTAATGAGGACATTATTTACTTGAAACGTTGTGCAATCGGCACTAAAGTAATTGATCTCACTGTTCTTAGTTCATTAAACGAATGTAGTGCTACTAAAAGTTACGTTGATTTGGCTACCATATTACCATCTAATATGTCAGAAGAAGATATTGAGGAAGTATTTGAAACGATAATGGCAAGGAAAGGTGCCACGCCCGCAAATTTTGTATTTCTTCAAAGCATTGGTAGGTATAATATTATATTTATTAAAATATATTTTACTAACAAATATTTTTTGTTAATGCTGACAGTATTCTCACAACAATATTTGAACGACCTTATACAACCCTGTCACGAAATGGCACATGTAAATGCCAAAACTGCAGTTGACAGCGGCATTTATCAACAATATCTAGCTGAAAAACAGCTATCAGGCAAATCAGCGGCGGCACAGGACTATGATGATGATTCCAAAACTGATAAGCGCGAGGAGCGACGCAAAAAGGCAGCATCAGGAAAGGCTGGTGGGGGTAGTCAGGGTCGCGAAACTAAAACTAAATCGACCAAAAAGCATCAACGAGGCGGACGTGCAATAGCTGGTGATAGCGATGAAGAGCAAGAATCACGTAATGGAGCAAGCAAGAAAGGTGCAAAATGTTTCGAACTGGTGAATGTGGGTGATATTGCAAAAATTATTAACAAGACTTTGGAAAATGAAGGATTGGAATATCTCTCAGACATTATTGCAGCATTGTATCACAGGTACGTTCTAAAACAATACGTAACATTTTTTTTCCTTAATATAAAATAATTTTAATTCATAGTCAATTAAATCAAGTTGCAATGGGCAAAGCACAAGAACTGTTCGAAGCAACACCACAAACAAATCGCAGACAAACGCATGCAGCAATACAAGAGCGCATTAACACCATACTCGTTGATCTACGCTTATATGAGAAGGGCTTAAAAGTATAGAAAAATATAAATTTCGTTATTTTAGAAATACTATAATATTTATAACACTTTTGTACAGCTTCTCCCGGCCGATGTACAACCGCAGCTGGTCAAATATTTGCTCAAATCGCTTGGCAATGACATTTGTAATGAATTGACCGCCTATATCGCCAGCGAAAGCAATTTAAATACGAAACTAACCAATTTCAATGTGGATCAACGCAACAAAATAGCACAGGAGTGTGGTAAGTGCATAATTCCGCACTATTTACAAGATTTTTTATTACATGCTAATTATTCTTTTTACTTCGCTCTCCAGACCAAGCATATAGGACAGCCTTATTGGAAATCAACAAAGCGCTAAATAAAACAATAGATGATTTTGTGTTGGCTACGGAAGCCGTATTAAAAGCATGTAGCATGATAATTAAGAAGGTTGATAAGAAAAAGGATCGTCAACTTATACTCCAACACAAGCAGAAATTATTACAACAATTGCAGGAAACCGTAGAGCCTGCATTGGTGTTGCACTTAGCCTCTTTAATACTTTTCACAACAGTAACGGGTTGTATTATACACGCTTCCGGTAAATTTGTCGCACAAATACTCGCTTTTATACGTCCCCATTTAAGTAATGAGCAAAATGAACAGCTAATGCAGTACCATGGTGAGTTAATGCAATTTTTTTTTATATACATATATACACTATACTCAAGCATTCTCTTTTCACAGACTATGTTTTGAAATTGTTGCAAGCAAAAGAAGATAGTGACGAAGCGAAACTCATAAGCGAACAATTACAGAATTTACAAAATGTCATTAAAGAGCTGGCGGCGTGCTATGAGAAAACTGGTACTTCCAAAACCGAATGAATATGAATGTTATCTTAATAAGGACCTAGTAGTCGCATTTTTTATGTAAGGCTATATGTTATTTGTTTTCAATCATTTTATTTGTATGTTTTATTTGCAATAAAGTCATTTGCAAGATGCTAGTAGTGTTTACTTTTTTATTTATTTGGTTATGGAGTGACGAGTTCGAATTTCACAATTTCGCAATGCTTAATTTTAATTGAAGTTTTGAAAAAGTGCTTACAGCTAATAAATTAAATATGATATTATATAATTGTATAGCTACAAATATTTACATAGTGTATTCTACAAATTATGCTGCAGCATTCTGCTGATTTTAGTTATATGTGAAGTTGTCGCCGTTGCAAACTGGTATAAGTAATCGCATCGTGTGCGAACTAATAGCTGTGTAATCGTTGCAGTATTTGTTTTGCTTTATCACTAGTTTGTCTGTAATGAGAATAATATTGAAATTTAATTTTGGATTTCAAAATATTTTCTGCAAATATTTACATATAAAGTGGATTATTTGCATCGAATGCGTCCAAAGTCTGTTTAATATAGGAAATTAGTAACTGTAAATTCTGCAATGTCTCCGATTCCGGTTGCAGCCAAACCGTTGGCAATGTATTAACTATAATGTAGGCTTTAGTTATTGCATCGTTGGCTGTGCAAACCTATAAGTTTACAGATATACCATATAATGTAAATATACAACAATTTTAATTTTCTATCTTCCCACACTTACTCTCATTGCAAGCAGTAGATAGCGATTCAGCAACAAACCGATTGCCATTTCACGCAACGGTTTGTCTGCTATAATACCCTGCCAACTAAGAAAATTTCGAAACAGTTTAAGACCGCTACAAAATTGACGTTGAAAGAATGAAGTTTTCGCCTCTTGTACTCTGAAAATGAAAAATAAACGTTAATTAAGTTAATTAAGGCGTTAAGCGTTTAATATTTACTGTTTGGGGAATATCGGTATGAAGACATCGTTCTCCAAAGCCAGCTTCATTTTTTCTAAAATCTTCTCAAACAATAGCTGCAATTGTTTTGAACTGTCTTTAAGTGGAAAATCGCGTGCCAAACGATTTATAAAACCAATTAAACGTAATGATTGCGTAGTTGATAATGGATCCCAGCATTGATTCACAATATCTGAAAATTAATTTTAAAATAATATTATTTAAACGAACTGTCTATATATTATAGATATTGTTGTCGTTGTTGTAGCGAATTTTCTTTGAAATGACAAGGACTAGCATAGTATATGTTGTTGTTGTAGCGCTTATATAATCCCCGCTTGGGTGGTTGGTTGTTTTCGAAGTCGTCTAATGGTAGGCCCAGGAAACGTGCTGTTTCGAAGGGTTCGGATCATAGGGAGAAGGGTGTTAGATGGGTGGGATTCGTGGCAAATCGAGCTCTTCCTTTGCAATGGGTGGTGAATTGACTCGCAGTACGTCATTCACTCAGAGGGGGTCAGTGAAGGTGTTGATGGCTCCACTGTGAATGGCTGTCTGTGCATGTCTGAAGTTTGTTGCGTCCGAGGTCTGGTCGGTGTACTGTTCAATGTCGTCGACATAGTGAAGGAAGGACCTCTTGATTTTCCTGGGAGGCGGTTCCGCTTCAAGCAGAAACTGCTTGAAGGTGAGCTCGGTGAGTTCTTTACCGGAGACATTGTTCGACCGGAGACATTGAGAGGTATACCGTGATAATCCACAGTGCAGCGTTCTGATTTGTCTGAAGTTTCTTTGTCTACGTTGCACTACATCCATGCGACCATATCAGCCTTGTATGTTGCCAACAACGTTTCTTGTCTATCAAAAGTTACACCTAATATCTTAGAGTTATTGACCATCGGAATTGTAATGCCATCGACTGTAATGTTTAGAACCAGCCTGTATTCCTTCGTCCAGCTAGTGAATATGGTCGCTGTGGATTTAGTAGGGGAGAGTGTTAAGCACCTTGCAGAGAAGAAAAGAGAAAGGTGGGAGAGATGTTCGTTTACTTTTGAGCACATGCCATCGATTCCATTGCCCGAAGTCAATATCATGCAATCATCAGCGTACGAGGCGAAGGAAATTTCCTCTGGTGGTTGCGGGAGTTTCGATATGTAGAAATTAAACAGCAACGGGGAGAGGACACAACCCTGCAGAGCCCCCGGTTTAATTCTTCTTAGTTTAGATGTTTGACCTCGAAACAGTACAGATGATTGTCTACCGCTCAGGTAGTTCACAGCCCACCGCTTCAACTCTGGAGGGAGCGTAGATTGTTCGATGACCTCAAGTAGCGTTGTGTGGTTGACTGTGTCAAAAGCTTTTGAAAAGTTCAACGCTACGAAGATTGTCCTCTCACAGAGTGGCTTCTGGTTTAGGCCATGAACTAACTGGGCGTTTATGACAGTAGGTGCTGTTCAATTTTCGGAAGCCATGCTGATGATCTCCTAGGCTCAGGTGGTGTGTGAATGTCGGAAGATATATATATTTATGTATGCTTACCGGCCATTTTGGGTAGCACAATTTTCTCAATAATTGTTGGCACCAAATTAACATCGGGATCAAGTCTTAAAGTAGCTTCGGTTTCATCTTCACTACCAGCATAAAGCATACAGGCTGAATACCAGTTCATTTTTTCAATATCTTTGTATTCATCGAGCAGTGGTGACCAGGATAGCATTTCCAAGCGCACAAGAGGACCAAGAACCTAGTGTGTTAAGAGCAGAAGTATTATTAGAATTGACGAGTTTCTATAAAACATTGACAAATATAGCACAAGCACTTACCTTAGGCAGACATATACTAATATAAGCATCTTTGTAGGATTCAATGTCCGTTTTGCGCCAAGCATAAAATTTCATCAATATTAATTCGACTTTATAAAAGTCATCATTTACATCGTTAAATATTCCCTCCGATTCCTTTTGTATTTGATCTATTTTTAATTAGCAAAATGGTAATTAAATGAATATATATTTAATACCCAAAATGTAAAGTTGAAGCTGTAAAACTACAATACCTAAGTTAGTTTTTAATTGCTCCTGATAGCGATCTGATGTCTCATCATCACTAGACATGCCATCCAAATGGGATGACAATAGTTCATTTTTTTCACGTTCACAACGACGACGCGTACGTCGCCCTTCACGCTCCGCCGCACGTCTAATTTGCTCCTCCGATTCGGGTGCACGTCGTGAGCCAGCAGGTTCTAAAAATAAGCAACTATTGTAGTATAACAAACAAGATTAAATAATTTCCCAAATTTACTTGAAGCTTCTGCCATTTCTTTAGCTTGATCACGCACATCTTGACGTCGGCGTTCAATGAGAAAATGTTGATGCTTTGAATATACCAGCAAAGTGCGTTTCTCCAATTCATTGATTATTGGTGTCTGTAACGTAGGTTATATAAAATGTTACTATTAAATAACTATAAATCTTAGTTTACCAACCTTCTCTGTTAGACAATCCACCAAATCGGCAGCGTAGCATTTAAGCTCTTGATAAAAACGATATTTAGCAGCCGCTGTTGGCGCTTTCTGTGTACAATCTAATTCCTCTAACTTTAATATTTTCAAATCATTGACTATACGTTCAATATCACTCATGTGTTTTTGGTTAACTTCTTGCAACTTCAACAAACTGTAATGCAATAATTAAAAGCTACAGCTAACTCGCTTAATTACAGAACTTACCGTGTTTTTATCGCATCGTGTATCTCTTTAGGTGTTCGCATAGATGCCGCTTTAATCTTTTCCTTTTTCGGCTTCGTAGACCCGCTCAATATTTGTTGCGGTTTCTGTAAAGAACTCTTAGCATAGGCTTGCTCCAACAGCGTCGAAGTCGATTGTTGTTCTGGCACATATTCTAATGCACTGGCTGCTGTAGGCTTTATCATGAATCGTGAGAGCACCGCATCATGTTGTGCACTCACCAATTGGGCACCTGTCACACCTTTACGTATTTGTTGATTCTCCCATTCGTGCATTTCACGATCGGAATCTTCATCGGAATCTAGGAGTACAAGTAGAAAATGATGTGCATCCGTAAATTGTTGTGTTTCGGGCAATTATTTTATATACATATATATATATATTTTTTTTTTTTGTAAAAAACCACATTAATAGAATGAGAAATATGTGCGCCTTTTTCTAGTTGGCTTTTAACTGGCTTTTATCATTGCGCAACGCTACATACAATCGTTGTTTTCCACGGCGTAAAATTGTTCACGTCGCTCTTCACGCTCCTTTTTGGCAGTCGCAACTGTCATGTCCATACGCTCTTCGTCGTCGGAGTTATCCCCTTCAACATCTTCACATGCCAACCGGCTACCTTTCTTTACTGGCGGTTTTGGCTCCTCGACTGGTATAAAATCACCTGATTGTGTATAAATATTTCTTTATTAGTAAAAAATTCATGTATGCTTTTTGTTTAATCGAAAGTTAACTTACCTTGTTCTCTTGCTTTCTGTCGTCGTTTCCGTGCTGCGTGTATCATCGCTGCATCGGGTATAGAACCGTTTTCTAACATTTGCTTTAAATGTTCAGGCTTCGAAAAACGATGATTTTCCTCACACTCATCTTCATCTACTTCTTGGCCATCTTCATCTGACATGTCGTTGCGACCAGCACAAATCGCTGCGCGTCCATTTAGTATAATTTCTGGTTCAGATTTTTTAACAACAAGCTATGAAAGGGGAAAAAACAATGTTAGTACATTTTAATGGTAACGGGATTTTTTAAAAATAAAATCGAAAATAAAACAAGAGATGCCAACTTATTCCTAGAAAATATTTTCCAATTTGCTTCATATATTTTAATAGTAAGGAATTTTTTCAGATTATTATACCCTGAACACGAAGTTTGTAACACCCCTAATGAAAAGTCGAAGACCCTATAATATGTACATATGTATAAATTATCAGCTTGATGTGCTGAGTCGATTTTGCCGTGTCGGCCTGTCTGTATACATAGGGGGACTAGTCCTCAGTTTTTAAGATATCGATATGAAATTTTGTGCACGTCCTTTTTTCTCCAAAAAGCAGCACATTTCTTGGAACTGAACTATCAAACTTTTTTTATTGGCGAGATATCTTCAAAAAATTTTACCCGTATTACTGTCCACGACAACAATCAGGTACAATCTTCCAAAAAAAACTCTTCAGATAATATAACTGTCATACAAACTGACCGATCAATATCAAGATAAAGATCTTTTTATACCCTTTTCATAAAAAATGCACCTGTGAAGGGTATTATAGATCCGATAAATATACACTTCTTATTAGGAACCTAAAAAACCAATTGCTATCTATGATTGTACAGAGTAATTTTCTTTAAGTTTTTGAAATGAGACTGTTCTGATACGGACTAAATAGTTAAGAAGTTGGTGTTTAAAGAAAGCCTCTATGGTTCCCATATATAAAAGATCAAAATGTAAAGTAAAATTGTAAATACAATAAATTTACATATCTCTTAGAATTCATACGTTTTTGATAATGAAAGTTTTTCAGAAACAATTGTTAAATAATTTTATGTGGGTGGGAAAATGTTACTTAATAAATTGGCAATTCTTAATATTAGATTCATAGTTCATAGCATTATTTAACAGCGATAGACAGCACATTTTCGTTTTAATTAAGTAAAATTAAATACAATTGCAAATGCCTTTGTGCTGTTTTTTGACTTTAAAAGTTGGTTACGCAAGTATAAGCAATAATCATAAATGAAAAACTACTGTGTACATATTAATTTTAACAAACGTCTTACAACTGCATATTATAATTTAGGCAATCATACAATCCAAAAGTATACCCTTAAAGCGCAAAACTTTATATAATAAATTGATAAATATTTCGCACTTAAAAGGGCTTCGTTAGGTTAATAATAATAATATTTTTAATTTATATTACATAATTTTTTGTTACATTTGTAAAGGAATCATTTCGCAATTTAACGCTGCCAAAATATTTCCTTACTTTATAATAGGAGCCAAAAAGCATAGTTTATTCAAAAGAAATTTTATTTAAATGTATTTATTATTTTTTTATAATCGGCAAGGTTACTTTGTCAGCGACTACAACATGATTCCCCCGCTTTTTTCTTTCATTTTAATTATTTCGACCGCAAAAACGCTCCCCAAGTACAGTGTGTGTACAGAGCGTTGCGTGAAAAAAGCTTTTGAAGTTTTTTTCGTAATTTGTAATTTTTATACAAAAAAAAAACATGTAGGGAAATTGATAATAATAACCTTACCACAAAGTCGTCTGTGCGTATTTCTGTTTGGATACTATCAGATTTTTTACTTTTACACTGTTCAACAGCAGATGCTGAGGCAGTGCCTAGGGACTTTCCGCTCGGTGCTAATGTTGTTGTACCCTTATATTTATTACTTGATGTGGAAGTGGAACCTAAATTGTGAGAATTATTACTACTGCCGTTAGTAGATTTTCCATTTTCAAAACGTTCGTTTGATTGTCGTTCACGTTGTCGCCCAATGGAAACGCCTTCATCACCACAACCATTGTTTCCATCATCTACAGATGACTGTGTATTATGGCGTTCCTCCTTGCGCTTTCGACGTCGCTCTCGGTCCAACATGCGCATAATTTTTTTACTGTTTGATGATTTTCGCACCTGAAATACCTCAGTATCTTCCTCTGAAATTTTTATATAAAAACATACATATAAGTATTATAATATATTTGTCTGTATTTGCGTAATTTAGTTAATTTAATAATATTGATTTTGCATTATCCGCAGTACAACTAAGCCATATCAATATACATATGTACATACAGATGTATGTATATATACATATACATTCATACTTAAAAAATAGGTATGCATGTAGAACCTACCATCGTCTGCAAAACTTAATAATGCCTTCGATTTCGGTTCTTCGATTTTATCTGTTTTATTGCTAGATTTTTTAGCCCCGCCGTCTTTACATTTTTTGTTATTTTGCACAGATTGCTCCCCATCGATCTCCATTTCCATGTCATCTGCTGCATTTTCATCCTCTTCGTCTAGAGCACTTGAAAAAACACGCCTCTGTATTTTCTTTGGTTTACGAAACAGCGACATATTTTTCGGATGTAAGCCGTACACAAAGCACCACTTTTATTATACTTAAATAACTAAAACAAACTTTTATATGCAACAAAATTTAAGGAAAAAACTAATTTAGCATGTTCTTAACAATTTTGCAGTTTTTATATTTGACGTTTAAAATTTTTTACAAAGCATTAATTGCTAAGGTTACCATATTAATAAAAATGTTGCGGCAAATTGTACCATTTTTATTTTTCGTGTAATTGGGTAATCGGTATTTTTTGCGCAAAATAGTTTCTACTCATTGTCATTTGAAAACAAAAGTAGCGAATGCCTATGACAAATATTTACAGCATTAATTTTAAATATGTATCATTAACCAATATTTTTATGAAAAAGCTCTTCAAGATATGTTCCTGCCACCGAGTTACTGAGTCAAATCTGCCTTCGGTAAATGTGTGAACTACGGCAACACTTGCGAAATTATTTGCTTCAAGTCTGCAACCACAGATGTAGCTAATGTTGATTAGTTGGGTGTGTTAAATAGACCAGTGCTTTTAAGAGTAAAATTCTCATAGAAATCTGAAATTTAATTGCAATTCTTATTCCATTGTAACTTGAATTTATTGTATTGTGCTAACTAAAATGGGACTTAAAGGTTGTGAAATTCAGTTAGATAATCCGTGGAATACATACTATGCGGGACAAACCATTAATGGACAGGTGAAATTGACTTTTGATTCAGCGAAAAAAGTTAGAGGTAGGATCACCGAAAATTGTATGCACACATATGCACAAACCAGCTTATGGATATAATATATATTATATATATATAATAAATATATGTATAAATGAAAATACAAATCTAAATCTTGCAAAGATTACGATTCAATTGATAGCCTGCATGATAAATTAGTGATTTGCGACTAAATGGTATTACTCATCTATGACGACATAAGTTGAAACGTATCGCATCATTTTCATTGTTGATGCACTATGCATCTATTATTAGGGGCATTGTGAAACTACACCACCTCCCTATTTTATAGCAGCAATAGCCGGCTCGATATGTACATTCATATGTATGTATGTCTAAGGAATGAAGAAACTTGAAAAAGCGGTTTCGTTTATTTGTTGTGAAATTTTATTACCTTTTTGTTTATAAGAGAATGGTAGTGACCTCTCCAGCACCCGAATTCGTACATACATATGTACATATATACTTATGTATTTACGTATGTTCGTAAGCAGAATAACTGTGATTTATTCATACTTAGATCAGTATATGCGGGTGTGCATAAAACAAGAAAAACCCTTCACAGGTAGATTTATACTTGTATTTTAAAAGGCTATAAAAAGATCTTTACCATATTTCGATTTTCGCTAGCCAATTTTTATGAAGAACATATGCACAGTGGAATTTTAAGTATTTTATGTATGTAGGTATTTTTAATTCTGCTACTAAATACTATAGGTATACATTGTGGTGCTTGTTGTGATGGCTAGTCGTGGCGACACAAAAATCTGCATCATATCTCGCGTAACTTCTGTGACTGCTAACTCGATTCAGTTTCAAGTGTTCTCTTTATTGTAAATTTAAATACTTTCATGAACTACATACATTCTTTGTACATATGTACAGAAGTTATGTACCCAATATATTTGATGTGTATTATTAATATGTTATCTAAATTCTAATGAGCTTTATTTTTTTGGGCGAACCGCAGCACACGAATATTGTGAATCAAGATGCGAATGATGTCATCTCACTTACTTTGCATGCATACATACATATGTACATATTTGCGTACATACATAGTTTGTTTATGGACATATACACACATATACATATTAATATATACTACTTATGTATGTTCCTAGGTTTGTTTGTACGAGTTGCCGATCGCATTGCTGTGGCGACAGTAAAGTAATGCCATTGATTTATATTTTTTATTATTAATAGATTTTGCAAAAGAAAGTAGTCACCATTTAATTATTAAAATATAAAAATTAAAAATTTAAGTAAATAGTCTTAAAAATGTAATTATTTTTTTAAACTGTTTAGGAATCATAATAAGATTTCTGGGCGAAGCCAATACTGAATGGTCGGAAACAAAAAACGTAACCACAAGCGAAGGAAAGACTGAACAGGAAACGGAAACTTTGCGCGGTCATGAAGAGTATTTCCAAATACAATACTATCTTTTGGGCGGAAAGAATAGTAAGTAAACGAAAAAAATTCAAAAAATATATATATAAACAATCGCCTATAACTCCGCATTTGCTTAACAGCTTATTTCAGTTATCCTAAAAGTATGCAACATTTTATATTTTGAGCTAAAAACATGCTCATTTTAAGTTTACCTCTCATTTAAGGTTCCGAAACTGAGCTCCCAGCTGGCACGCACACTTACCCCTTCACATGTGCATTGCCGCCTACATTGCCATCATCATTTGAGGGTGAATTCGGTCATGTGCGTTACACCATTAAGGTGACACTCGATCGTCCATGGAAATTTGATCAGGATATGAAAATGGCGTTCACTGTTATCTCTCCAGTCGATCTTAACGTTAATCCACGTGTAAAGGTTAGTGTGATTGTAAAAATAAAAATATATATTTAAAAACCATAAAATTAATAAATAATAAAAAAAATGCCATTTAGGAGCCATTTAAGCTGGAGTTGGAGAAGAGTTTTTGCTGTTTCTGTTGTCGTTCTGGTCCATTATCGGTAATCACCACCGTGCCGGTAACTGGCTATGTATCAGGCCAAACAATACCAATCACTTGTGAATGCGATAATGCCAGTAATGTTGGCATCACATCGGTTAAGTTTATATTACGCAAACGGGTCACGTTCCAAGTTAATCAACCGCGTGCGGAAAAGAAGCAAAGCAAAATTACAATAGCCGAATTGGGCATTGGACCAGTTGCGGGCGGCGAGACACGCACATTTACGCAACAATTGGAAATACCAGCACTGCCACCAACAAATTTACTCAACTGCGGAATTATATCGTTGGATTATGATTTACATGTAAGCTTAAAGGATTGGACAGCGCGTTGATTCAATGCCATATTTTTTTCTAATTAATTGTATACATTCATTTTATATTCTAGATTGAATGTGACGTCAGCGGTCCACATCGTAATTTATCTGGTAACATACCAGTTATTCTGGGTACAATTCCTTTGGCATCATTTAAGCCGCCAGCACCCTATACAGATGTGCCAGCACAGATAGCGCCACAGCAACAAGATCAAGATCCATCATTGGCACCAACACAACCAGTTAGTCCAGCTAGTCCACCAAGTGATGGTGCGGGTGGTGCGCTTGGCTGGAATGTAGCCGACAGCGCTGGTGGGCAGCTATATCCAAATATACGTAAGTTTTATTAAAAATCTCTTTGTTTTTTGTAAAGGAAAATTATGCTGTAATACAATATGTGTGCTTGTATTTACTGTTACAGCGCCACCACAATTTGTCGAGACACAGTTTCGTGCACCAAAAATCACTAGCAATGAAGATTCGGAGCACACAACAATTGTTGGCGATGTTAATTTTGCGCCACGTTATCCAACGTTCCAGTTTAATAATGCGACTGCACCACCACATCTTTAAAATGTGGTGCACTGTGTGAAGTGGCGCGTAACCCAATAATGACATCACAATGATATTAATTATTTACTCAAGTTTATCTGTTATAATCTTGTGTTTTACCAACATATAATCGCACAAACTAAGCATTTATTTGATTCGCTTGAATTTCTTTGGAAAATTTGTTTGAACAAAATACAACGCTTATATTTTTCACTAGTCTATTAAAGCGTACATTTGGCTTCCGTCCGCAGTGCTTGTCAAATACATTTGATTTCTTGTAATAAAAATTACTTAAAAGAAGTAATAAAATAAAGACGAGTGCCTAGAAATTAAATCGTAAGCAGCTCAACAATTATTAGCTTAAATTATTATAGTAATTTGTATGCCAACTAAAAGTGTAAAGTGAATTTTTATAACAATTTGATATTTTATATGTATAAAGTGAGTCGAAACGTACAAGTAGCGAAATCAATTTGATTTATGAACGAATTTACACATCCTGTATAATTATAATATTAAATATGAATTGTGAGAATCTCAACTGTTTGAACGCACAATTTTATGGTTAACGCATTTCTGATTTGTTCATTGTAAAGTGTAGTGAATAGTTGCCGACATGAGCAAAGCAAAAAATATACTATTTTATATATACAAACGCAATATGTATAAATAATTGGAAACATTTTATTGTTTTTTTTGTATACTCTTTGTTTCTTTTAGAACACTTGTTTTAAATTTAAGTCAAGAAAAAATTTATTCAAATATACTCGCGAACTTTTTAATACAGTAACGTTTGCCTACTTGTCAAATGGTTTTTTATTGTTTTTATCACGCTTTTGCACATGAATAAGTACTTTTATCGCATTGCCCTTCCTGTGACGCGCTGTGTCAAATGCCGCAATGCTATCTTTAATATCAAAATGATGCGTAACCAGCTTCTTCACACCCGTGTTCTTTGTGGATACTAATTCTAAAGCAGATTGATAACTGAAATGCATATCGACGCAAGTAAAAAAACATGTATGTTTGTATATTCAAATAACATACTCATTGCAGTAACGGAAGACACCCTTCAGATCTACTTCCCGTGTAAGCGCTTCCATTAGTGGAAACTTTATATCCGCCGCGCCCATGCCAGTAACTGTGCATATGCCACCGGAGCGTGTGCTCTGGAAAAGTATAACAATTATTTGTTAATAATTTGACTTTTAATATAAAATATGTGTCAAATAGCAAAATTAGTATCAATGAACGGCAAAATAGCAATTCATAACAAAAAATTATAAATACTAAGCAATTATTTATTCATTTATTTGTGATAGGCGCAAAGCGCTTTGTCGTTTTGTAATGGTGTTATGATCTATTATATTTATAGGAGTTTTAGGTAACACAACGCTACGGCGTTCTAAGCCGCAAGAGCAAGAGAGATCCCTATAATGATCGACCTCTAAACCTAACCTAACTTAACCAAGCAATTAAATTATGAGTCCAGTCGCAGAGTAGTAAATTTTCCCTTACAGGATTAGTAACAAGAGGAAAGGTTATAATAGTTGAAACTTGAATAATATCCATATTACTATATGTAAAGCAACTGGTGTCGAGTTACCGGTCCACAATTCTGGGTCACTATAACATTATTTGGTATTGTGTATTGCTACTCATCTTTGTATATTCGAAAATGCGTAAAATGAAAAATGTGAAACAAAATCAATATTATTAGAAGAAATCATTTTCATTAAATCTATCGTAAATTAATGCAAATATAAATTTTTTATAAAAACTATAAAGGTTTCAATCTTCATAACTCGCAATATGCTGCAGTTCAAATTCTTGTGTACCATATCAATGGATGGTAGTAATACATAATATAAAATTGGCGACTGGCTTCTCAGTTGTCTATAATCAGTAACCAGTTGCCATACATAACTCCAATTTTAGTGTTCGGTTGCCTACTATATTTTAAATAAGAAAACACGTTTGGATGCACCGAAGTTATAAAACCCTTCACAGTTGCATTTTTATAGCATAAAAAGGTATAAAAAGATTTTTATCTTGATTTTAATTGGTTAGTTCAAATGGCTATAAGCTAAAGTGGTACGATCTGATCAATAATTTTGGAGATTGCAGCGATGCCTTGGATAATAATTTGTGCCAAATTTCATGAGGATACCTTGTCAAATAAAAACGTTTTCCATACAAGGGCTTGAGTTTAATGATAAGTTTTTATGGCAGCTATATGCCACAGCTGGCCAATATCTGCGGTTCCGAGAAATAAGCAGATTCTTAGGGAGAAGAGGACCAGACAGACGGCTGAAAAACTTAATATACCTTGTTCAAGGTATAAAGATCTACCAAAAAATATAGTTTATAGTGTTCTAGTTTGGTAATGACATTTTGTATTTGCATATATTCTTCGAAAAAAGTAAAAAGTGTTATTGATTTTTGTACAACTGATCCATATTAATTGCCCATCCTTGTACGAAAACGTTTTAAGTTTTTGTGACTATATTCCAAACACATTACTTATTAGTAAAAGTGAGTATATTGAAGGAAAAATATTGCTTACATAAATACCCAGCCGTACTGCTTGTTCACTGCCGACACAATCGATTGTCCTATCTGGCATAACTCCAATTTCTTTAATTAATTTCTTTGCTGCCTCTTGCACATCCATATCTTTGCACACCTTCAATGCACGAGTCACACCCAAATCCATTGCCACTTGAAGTCGTTGCTCATTTAAATCGAGAATTGTGGTCGATGCAGCACCCCATGCTTTTGCCACAATATGTGTCACTAATCCTATAGGTCCTGCACCTATGATGAGTACATGTGAACCGAGCCGAACTTTTGCGCGTCGACACGAAGCTACACCAATCGATAACGGTTCCAACAAAGCACCCTCCTCCATTGTCACATGATCGGGTAATTTGTAGCAAAAATCGGCCATATGATTATAATAACGTCGCAAATTGCCATTATATGGCGGGTTAGCACAGAATTTCATATGCGGACATAAATTGTATCTACCCGCCTTGCAAAGTGCGCATATGCGACAGCATTCACCCGGTTCGATGGCGACACGATCGCCTTCTTTCAAATTCTTAACGCCTTTACCCAGTTTTGCGACAATACCTGAAGCTTCGTGTCCAATAATTATTGGTTTTTTCACCACAAACGAGCCGACTCTGCCTTTTGTTAAAAAGTGTACATCGGTGCCACAAATACCCACTGTGTCCATGGCCAGCAGTACCTCTGTGGAATCAAAAATTAGTGGTTGTATTTTTTAAGTTTGTGTGCATATGTTAGACAAAATTATTTGACTTTTAAATACTTACGTCCAGGAAGAGCTTCTGGTATAGGGGTTTGTTCCTAAAATGCATAAAAAATATCAGTAAAGATATTTCGTTTATGTAAATATAAGTAACTCCGATTTGGAGTTAGCTTACTAGTCGCAAATCTTCAATGCCATGTAGCACTGTGGATAAGTTATCTTTTCCACCTTTCTTTTTGCCTTTGCCGTCGGAACTGCCACCACATGCGGATTTCTTATCCTCTCCGCCTTTCTTTGACTTTTTACCTTTGTCAGAACCGCCACATGCGGATTTGTTATCCTTTCCGCTTTGCTTTGACTTTTTACCTTTGCTGTCGGAACCACTACCACATTTCGAACTGAAACGCTTTACCACGTCTCCAACAATTTTTGGCATTTGCGGTAAGTGGAAGGCAAGCCTTGGTGTAACACATTTGAACGAAGCAAACGTATGATATTGGCCCAGAATCATTTTTGAAATTTTAAATAAACATTTTTTAAATTTACTATCCAAATTTAGTTATTTAAACTTTATTACTATTTTTAGTATTTTTCTGAAGTGAATTTTGTAAGGAAAAAAACTGAAATGAATTTATTTTAGAAAGTTACTTGATTGATACGTATAACATAACTGTAAAATGTGTATATATTCCTTTTACGGCAAAACAATGTTTTCCAATACATACATCATATGTATATGAAAGTGTTAAAGTTCGAATTTGTGGGGGATAAAGGCATTTTCTGTTATTTCGAATAAACTTATGGAATTCCATACTCGTATAAGGCATTATTTAATTGAGATCCACTCAATATATGTGATACCTTGTGAAAGAGAAAGGTCATTGAGAGATTAGAATATGAACAAACACACAAAAAAACTTGTAATCTAAGTTATTTATTTGCAATATTTAAGTTAAGCTGGAATTTGAATGCTCCAACAAGCATTGGTTATATTTAGTTCGATTTCTATATATGCTATTAGAACCATAATCGAGATAGGGAGCATCAGTCAGTTTTTGTGACCCAAAAAAGTTCTTTTTTTAGAAATTTCCTTTTATTTAGTTTATATTGAATTATTGATCCAGACTGATCTGGAAACTTACGTTCGTTCGATGCTTTAGTTTTTCCAAATAATCTCAGCTCGATTGAGTGCTTTTTAAAACCTTAGGCTAAGGATATGAAATTTCATGCCTCTAAATATATTTCTGACATGAAAAATGTCCTGCCGTCGTTCGGAGGTGGCTTACAAATTGTGGAACCTATCGGAAAACCGTTAAAATTACTATCCAAAACACCAGTACAAACAAGAGAACTTGCACAAATATATAACTATTTAGCCTTTATATAAAATCCCTTAAAACATCAAAATGCTATGGTTGATTTCATTTCAAAAATATTTACAATCGATTTCAGCTATGAACATGCTAAACTATTATATTTTTCTTTCGATTAAACGTCACAGTTTATTTGATAAGAAATCACGCAATATTGTTTATCATTGTAACACTAGGGAAGTTTGAAATTGGAATTAGCAACTCACCAAACAGTGGTCGTGCAATCTTTTTTAGAAAGATGCCACCGGTGTTGAAAAAAATTTGCGGTTTTTATTTTAACTAGAATGAATTCTTATTTAGACTGGATACACATTGTTTAGCTATATAATATAATATATCAAATATTCTAACAGCAACAATGTTATCGTCAAGCTCTAGCAGTTAAAAAATAGATTAAATTAGAAGTAATCACAACAGATTAGACACACTGACACACTTAACGTATATGGTATGTATGCTGTTATTTTTATTTAGGTATATATTTTTTTAAGTTTTATTGTTATCGCCAACCTGTTGACGTACTTTTTGATTTGCATTGACCTACAGTACTGCTTGAAATATTGGGAATAGTGCGAGAAATTCACAATTCTTCAACCTTGACCTTTATCAATATTGGCCTTAGATTACAATGCTTACATAATCAATCTTTCCCATTAATAGTTATTTGGGTTAGAAAGTTCTCTCTAGGTGATATAGCAATATGTGCGTATGAATATTGATAACCTTCGAAGTTGAGATTATTTTAGCGTCCAAAAAGAATAGCACGTTGTGTTGTAGAATGTCTCTCTGTTATATCCTCTGTGATATCAAAGTGGTGAGTAATCAAACGTTTCACATTTTTTTTACCGGAAGCTACTAATTTCAGCGCAGCGAATATCAAAATTGGCGCCATGTATATCTACCTCTCGCACCAACGCATTAATCAAGGGTATTTTAGGCTCAGCGACACCCATACCTACAATAACAACGCAACCGCCTGAACGTGTAGCCTAAACAAAAATAATTATTAATGCTAGTTTGGAAATATTGTATATGTACATATATTTCGCTTACAAAAACGATCAGACGTGTTGTTGACTCGGCACTGCAGCAATCGATCGATTTATCGGGTTCAACACTCATCACTTGATGTACTTTTTTCGCCAAATTTTCAGCGCAATCATCTTTTTGCATCATGTTTAAACTAACGTACGAGATTGCCATCCTAAGGTGGCGTCGCACAGAAAATCATGCCAGGACAGAGATTATATTGGTGAGCTTTGCAATAGTTGCAGTAACGGCGAGGTACACACGGTTCACAAGCGACGCGAACACCCACTACAAGATGTTTGACTTTTTGTGATTACAAAATCGCCAATGCGTCCATGAACTAAGTAATGCACATCAGAACCACAGATGCCTACGCAGTCCATTTTCAAGAGCACCTCTAAGCAAAACAAAATATTTTATCAGAGTTTTCAAATTTTTGCATGAAATATTCGGTAGGACTGCCAACCATTATCAGCAATTTTTGGAATGGGACGTTGTTCCTGGAAAGAAAGAGTTTTAAAATAGAAATAAAAGCGTAGGACTAAACGGATGGATATTTTATGAGATTGTATAGTTTCGAAACGCAAGAACTTGACGAGCAACATATGAACAAAAAAAATGTGTAAACACCAACTATTTATACATATCTATATTCATACCATACTATATAAATCTACAACCTTTGTTTACATTTGGAGTCAATTAGCTTTTAGTTTACATTTTATGGGTTCAAAAACCTATTTGTTTACATTTCGTCGAGGTCAATTACCCCTTTGTTTACATTTTGTATGGTCAATGAATCTTTTGTTTACATTTATCCAAGCCCACAACCTCTGTTTATATTTTGGGTTAATGACTCTTTTGTTTAAATTTTATGGGGTCAATGAGTCCTTTGTTTACATTATGAGGTCAACAACCTTTGTTTGCATTGGGGGCAATAACCCTTTTCTTTACTTTTTATTGAGTCAATGACCATTTATTTCTTATTTTTTATAAATTTTCTTTAATTATCGTAGTTTTTTAAGATTTCTTTCGACCAATAGACACGAGTCTTTTTGTTCAGCGATTGAGAAATTGTGAACAATTTTTTTTACAATCAAATGTGTGCGAGTCCTATTAATGCCTATAGTTGTCTCGCTCTCTCACGATCTTGTCAGTCGTATGTCAAAATATTCTGAGCATGTATTGCATCAAAAAGGTCAAACTTTACTATAAAGTTGTGAGTTGCCAGATTGCAACACTGCAGTTGCCAAATTTCGAAATATAAAAGGCAACCTACGTAGCTACTATACAAACGGAACGATCGAAATCGAGTGCTTGTAAGCAACCTTTTGTATCTTATAAGGATATTATAGCTTCGGTGCAAACGAAGTTAACGTTTTACTTGTTTTTATTACGAGTATATACATACAAGTATAATATACCTATAGCAATTAAGGCGAATTGAAAGTTAACGATAGCAGACAAATGTTTCTGAACAACTAAGCAATTGTGTGAGGTCACCTCGTGGCTTTCAAATCACATCACAGCGTGAGACTCACTATTGCTATATTTTACTTTGCGTCAGCTAAAATTATATTAAAATCATCTTCAACTGAGATATATGTGATATAAACTCAAGCGAAAGACTAAATTTAATATTTTGACTTGACTTTGGAAAACGGTCACCAGAGGATCGGAATTCGTTATATTAGAGATAAGAGGTCTAGGCCAACTCCATTCATATTCAGCGCTAAGCCCCAAATTTGTAAGAAAACGTGTCCACTTCTTACAAATGTCTGCTGGAAAGTTGGAAAGTAGAACAAGTTCTGGGAAGTAGAGCAAGTTCTGGGAAGTAGAGCAAGTTCTGGGAAGTGGAGCAAGTTCTGGGCTTGTTGCATTAAAGTTTGGCATTACTCATGTATAGTCGAGAGTATGTTTTTAAGAAATTTTTAAATAAATAGGTCTTTCATGTAATAGGGACCACGCTACCTGACTAACTTATTAAATACATAAGTACATAGGATATTATAATCATATTTAATGTATACCCAGGGCTTGGGGGGATATTTGGTGAGGGTGAGTGAGATCCATCAATTTATTGAAATTATATTTTATTTATTTTGAGAAAAAATTAGTTTCATATTACCATATGAATATTTTTTTTAATGTTAAATGTGCTCGAGTACATATGAATGGTATATGATAACTCGGGTAAAGCATACTGAGGAAAAATTGATGCTGATCTCAAAAAATTAAATTTTTCAATTGATGATGACCGCTGAGAAGTATAATTTTAAATTATAACATTAAAAGCAAATATTATTTTAAAGTATGTATAGTAATTCATCATGGGAACAATTATAGTAAATTGTTGCAAACAATTTTTGTAAAGCACTGGGCTCCCCTAAGAATTCCGAGACCCGATCTTCCACCCCCTTTTGTGTATTCTATATACTATAGCTAATCTAGTTAAGCTATTAATAAGTATGTTAAGTTGTTATCTTGTTCTTTTAGTCCCATGTCAAAGTAAATTATTGCTTGGTTTTTAAATCATCGAGCGATGTAAACTATAATTAATTTTTACGTTGGTTCAAATGCGTTGGCCTAAACTTCTGAAGAGTAATCTATTTCAGTGTTCAGAACACATGTGTTTATGTATGTATATACATATATATACTAAATTCCAACAACTATTTTAGTGTACGTATAATATACCACACATGGTTTAGTATACAAATCATATATGTTATTCGTACAGCAATAATGTGATCTTTAACCTCTGATAACTAAAAATTGCATCATAAATTAATAGCTGATTCTAAGTGATCACCGCATGTGCGTCTTTCCTATTAGTATATACATATATGTATATGTATATTTATATATATTTTTCCTATTTCATTTTGTATACATTTTAAAAACGCTTTTGACGTATTTTTTGACTTTTATTGACCTACAATAATTTTTTTATTGGTGCTGCGATAGGTGTGAGCAAATAACAATATCAGTATTGCATTTGGATTCAATAAAAAATTATTTGAATTAAAAGATAAAACAAATTTACATTTTAAAAGAATGAACAATGCTAACCTTCGATATGGCAATTCCTAGTGTGTCTGAAAGATACAAGGTTTGTTTGTTAAAAAAGTATCGCGAAATTTGAATTTTTGCCGGCTACGTGTATTCGACTTTTGATTGTTTTGTTGCGTTATGCTGGTACTCATATCGCTTACTTATGCTGACAAGATTGGCCATTTTGAATGTTAAATTAATTTTTGACAGCTGTTAGGCTTGGACGCGTTTTGGTTCGTCTTCGATTTATTCCATAAAATGGATCAAAGAATTTGTATAAAATTTTGTGTGAAAAAAACAAAAATAAATGCGCGGGCGTATTCTGAATGTTGACTGTGGCATATGGTGAATCTACCTTGGACAAAAGCAACGTTTATCGGTGGTACAAAATGTTCTCATAGGGAGATGATGGCGTGAACGACGAAGAGCGTACCGCAAGTCCGATTACGTTAACAACAGGCGAAAACATAAATGAAGTAAAGAAAATAGTACTGGCCAATCGTCGAATCACCATTAGAATATATGAAGAATACGTCAGAAATGCCGGAATTTGTGGAAAACTGGCTACGATTAAGGAGATAAAATATGCACCGAAGAAGGGGCTGAGGATTGGAAAAAACGTTGGCATAAGTGCATTATATCTAGGGGTGATTACTTTGAAGGGGACAAAATAGATATTCATGAATAAATAAACACTTTTAAGAAATACAAAATTCACAATACTTTTTGAATAAACCGCGTATATGGATTTTTACGGTTAGCAACAGCAAATATCGGAGAAGGTAGAAAAGTTTTTTTTTGTCAGAAGCCAGAAAGTCTTATAATCTAAAGGTCCCGTTAACTTGAGTCTACACCACCATTATTAAACATTTTAAAATAAAAATTTTAATTATAAAGACCACGTGAAAATTTATTTGTTAGTAAAAATATTCTATTAATATAAACAAATTATCAATTCATTAATTTATCTTGAATTTTACTTTTTATTTCTAATGAAAAAATCTACCTTTTTATTTACAAAACAAAATTATATCCTATGCAATATAAATTCCCATAAAGGTTCACTTAGACTTTATTATTTGTGTTGCGGGGTTGCGCGTGTATCATGACTTTGATGGCTCCACCGTGTCCATAGCGTGCGGTTTCAAATGCCTTGGCCGTCTCTGTGATATCGAAGTGGTGAGTAATCAAACGTTTCACATTGACTTTACCGGACGCAACTAACGCCAACGCAGCAGGATAGCTAATAACGTATATAAAAGTTAATTTTTATTTAAACAAATCTCTCAGCCATTTCCAACTCACTCATTGCAGTAGCGAAAGACACCACGTATATCAACTTCGCGTGCCAACGCATTAATCAAGGGTATTTTAGGCTCAGCGGCACCCATGCCTACTATAACAACACAACCGCCTGAACGTGTAGCCTAAGCAAAAACAATAATTGCAATAATTTATTAATAACATGACTTTTAAATATTGTAATTCTCTTACAAAAATACTGAGACGTGTGGTTGATTCTGCACCGCAACAATCGATCGACGTATCGGGTTCTACACCCATCACTTGATGTACTTTTTTCGCCACCACTTCCGCACTATCATTTTTATTCATGAGCAGGGTATGTGTGGCACCTAATTCTTTGGCGACATCCAACCGATCTTGCACCAAATCAGTGATCATGACTTGTTCTGCGCCCATAGCTTGCGCGGCTAAAAGCGTCACCAAACCAATGGGACCGGCGCCCAATACAAGCACCTTAGAACCAAGTCCTACACCAGCACGACGACAAGCATGTACACCAACTGAGAGTGGTTCCAGTAATGCACCCTCTTCCATGGTAACATGGTCGGGCAATTTGTAGCAGAAATCGGCAGCATGTTTATAGTAGCGTGTGAGATTACCATCATATGGTGGAGTCGCACAGAAAATCATATCGGGACAGAGATTATATTGACCCGATTTGCAATGTTCGCAGTAACGGCAAGGTACACCCGGTTCACAAGCGACGCGATCACCCACTACAAGATTTTTTACTTTTTTGCCTACTTTCGCTACGATGCCCGAAGCTTCGTGTCCGATAATCATTGGTTTTGTGAGTACAAAATCGCCAATGCGCCCATGAACTAAATAATGCACATCAGAACCACAGATGCCGACGGAATCCATTTTTAAGAGCACCTCTATTGTATAAAATGTATTTATAATAAATTTCAGTATATTTTGTGAAAATTATTCAATTGAAATACCAACCATCATCCGCAATTTCTGGAACGGGACGTTGTTCCTGAAAATATACAGTTAATTTATATATTATTTAAGCATTACGTTTATTATCAATACCAGCTTTGAACCAAAATTACTATGCTGACTGTAACAGAAAACAAGAAAAAACCTTAACTTCGGTTGCGCCGAAGCTATAATACCCTTCACAAATACAAAGGCCCCTTAGCACCACTATAGCATATAGCTGCCATACAAACTGAACAATCGGAATCAAGCACTTGCATGAAAAACTTTTTCATTTTACGAGATATTTTCACGAAATTTGGCGCGGATCATTATCTAAGATAATAATGGAGTCTCTGAAAAAATTGTTCAGATCGAATTACTATAGCTTATTGCTGTCATACAATCAAGTTCTTCTAAGGAAACGTTTGTATTTGTGAAGGATATTATCTGTGCAACCGAAGTTAACGTTTTTTTTCTGTTTTTTGTTTTGAGTATTTACAAACAAAGTTACTCGTCACAATTTGAAGGGCATATAAGCTTATATTTAAACTATCAACTACTTCAATTACTTGTATTTGTTTTTAATGAAAATACATATATATGTACATATATCAATTCGTTCTTCATAAATATGCATTTGTTTTCTTAGGTGCAAAAATGTTGTATAATTTCATAGCATTCCATATTCCTATGGTATTATTAGAGAAGAGTTGAATTAAAATTCCAGCTATGCACATACATATACAAGTACAATACTAATATAATAAACGCTTATCATAAGTATATGATACATAATAAGTGTAATGATTAATCCACAGACGAGCCCACAAACAAAATAAACACTTATAGCTGTTCAGGAATTAATTATACTCGTATTTGTATGATAATAAATATATGAACAATTTTCTGTTTACAGTAGGTGCATCCCAGCAAAAAATCGGACTAAAATTGACAGGTTCAGAAGTGGTACATTTTAGTACCACACCTGCTCATTAGTCTAATTTGACGAGAGTAAAATGTAGTATATTTATTGCTAATGCGCTATTGCAACCATGAAAAGAATTTCAAAATGAGAAGGTTTGCTTAATTGGGAAGCAGCAGTTGCGAACCATAACACTGACCGTGCCACCCGAGCACGAGCGGCACGGTCTTTGCTCCTCGTCACTTCGTCCACAAAAACCGGTTTGGGTGACAAAACAGTCCGTGTGTGAACTAGGACTTAAACATTTAATTCAGGTAAACAAACGTTTTTAAAATTTAGTTTTTGTTGTGGTAAGGTAACCAAAAAGAAAGGATAGTGACAATTTTCGTTGAATACTCGAGGGAAAATTGCTTCATGCAATGTATGAATTTATGAAAATCACCAAAACACGTAAAGTATATAATGAATGACGTACGAACAAACTCTGAAAATTTATGGTTTATGTCGACTATATCCCCATGAACCGATTTCCTTGTGGTAGCAGAGCGAAGACAAAATACATGCGTGCTAATTTTTTTAAGAATTTTGGAACTATCGAGTGGTTCAAGTCCCTAGTGCTGTGCTCTTTGTCTATTTACTCGTTAAACTTTTAAAAATCTCGAATTCTAATTCATTATCATTATCAAATTGAAACCACTAATTATTGATATTATTAGATGCATATTTTTCGAACTAATTGAACAACGGGTATTATCAATTTATTTATGAGTTAGGAAATTTTTTAATTAACATTAATATCATAGCACTATTTCATATCGGTAACTTCGTAGTCACGTTAATTTCAACCAACACCGTTGGTAACTTACCAGTCGTAAATCCTCGATGCCGTACAAAACCGCTGTTAAGTTATCGTTTGACATATTTACTTTTATGTTAGTTAGTTTATGTAAGAAATACGATATATATAAATTAATTGAAACTTGTTGGAAGAATTGTAGAATAATTTCCACAAATTGACTTTTCTGCAGCAAAGCAGCTAATTAACTGAAATATAATCAATGCGGAGCGTCAGAAGTTGACAATGTCACGTAGCTTTTGCCGGTGTGGGGTGCACTCGGCACGCTTCTTCGTGTTTTTTACGTCCTAATCGGTATACACCAGATACAAATGTTGTGTAAATATACTCATGTGCACAACAAATCGAGCACATGAAAACATACATACGTAAACAAATGTTTAAACTATAAAACGTTCAAAGCAAATTAAGTCAAAAATTATAAGTAAAGCAATTTATATTCTAATGGAAACTCAAGCAGAAGCTAACACCACTTTAGCTCAATATACACACATACTAGTATACATATTTGGAAGAATTGACTAATTTTTTGGAACTACAAAAATTTATATATGAAATTCCATTTCCATTCCATTCCATATACATATACATATGTATTATTGTGACAGAAATTCTTTATAACTATAGGAGCATAATTTAGGCACGGGTCTCATTCGAAAAATCAATAGATTTACGGAACCCGTCAATTTGACGGAATTCAAGTTTTATAATTAAATATCTAGAAAAACTCTTTATCAATTTCAAAATTTTTGCATCGTAAGTTAATCATTTCTCCCGAAGAACTTATGCACAATACACAATTGGCACATTTATTTTTGACGTACCTCACTTATTGTCGCAGGGTGTTGCTCCAAATTTAAGAGGGCAGAATAATTTGTAATATTAATTTAAAGCTTTTCATATGGGGTCATTACTATCAAGTGGTACACCGACGGCTCGAAAACGGTGGAGGGGATCGGCGCAGGGGTCGCAGGACCACGCACCAAGCTCTCCATCCCCATCAGAAGTTTTCCTAGCATATTCCAGGCGGAGGTATATGCTATAAGTCGGTGTGTAGAAATGAACCTCCAACGCGACTACCGCAATAAGAGCATCGCCATACTCAGCGATAGTCAGGCAGCACTTAAAGCGATCTCGGCTTTTGAGGTCAAATCGCTGCTAGTGCAGGAGTGTATAGAACGGCTGAACAGCCTATCAAGTTTCAACAGAGTGCACCTCATCTGGGTGCCTGGTCACAGGGGTATAGCAGGAAATGAACTTGCTGACGAGTTGGCCCGCTCTGCAGCCTCTACAAACATGGTAGGACCAGAACCGTGCGTAGCGGTTGGTCCACATACCATTAGGGAGCTGCTTCGTAAAGAGGAAAGAGCAGCAGGGAGAGACACTGGCAGCATCTCCAAGGCGTGCGCCATGCCAAGTTGCTAATGGGGGGTTACAACCTCAGACGGTTTAAAACCGTAATCAATCTCCCGAGGAACGAATTTCGGATTCTGGTCGCGTTCTACACCGGACATTGCAGGCTTAACAAGCATTTATTGAACATGGACTTGGTCTCCTCTGCAAACTGCTGGTTCTGCGACATGGAGTCGGAAACCCCAGAACACCTACTAATGGACTGCACAGCAGTCTGCAGACGTAGAGTCAAGGCCCTGGGATCCATGTTTCCAAACAGGGATCGCATCGCCTCATTGCCACCTAGCAGTATATTGGAGTTAATCAATATGCTAGGGCTAGATGAGTCGCTGTGACTTAGGGGAGGGCACAATAGACCATAGGTCGCGGTGCATACCTCAATCATTATCTAATCTAATCTAATGGGGTCATTAACACCTTCACCTCCTCTCTTTCAGTGAATGGCGTACTTGGTGTTAATTCACCACCCGTAGCAGACGTAGAGCTCAAGTTGCCCTGAAAATCTAGCGTGACCCTTGTTTAACTTCGTTTTGGATTTTGTAGCAGGTTAAACATCTAATTATCCAGTATTAACCCTACATAGAAAATATAATATATGTCCCGCTTGCAATGAGTCACCGCATTACTCTAACCACCTCTTTCTATGCCCAACGTATCCCACCCATCTAACACCCTTCTCCCTATGATCCGACCCCGTCGAAACAGCACGTTTCCTGGGCCTGCCGTTAGATAACTTTCATGACAACCAATTTGAACCTTACCACCCAAGCGGGAATTTGATAACCACTACAACAACAACAACAGGAGAAATAAACTCATTTTGTAGAAGAGAGAGAGACTTTTGCGGAATGTAAAGCTTATGAAGTAAATATGTACTTCTTATAAGTAACTGCAGTTTTCATGTCGTAAACATTTCTTTTTCCGATATATACCGTTAAGCATGTTTCATTTAACAAAGTTGACTTAAGCTATTTTAATGTAAAACTAAGTGCGCGAACGTCATTCGTAGACGTTCAACAGAAGTATACATATGTATATACTTATATGCACTTATATGTCAATATATGTCTGCTTATATTTATTTGTATACCCTGAACCAAGCATATTAAGTTGGCCACGAAATTTGTAACACCCAGAAGAAAACATCCAAAAACCTATAAACTGTATATATTTATAAATGATCAGCGTGACGATCTAGGTGGAATTTAGCTATGTCCGTCCGTCTGTCTGCATATACGCGAACTAGTCCCTCAGTTTTTGAGATATTACTCTGAACTTTTGCAACGTTCTTTTCTCCCCAAGAGGCTGCTCATTTGTCGAAACCGCCGATATCGGACCGCTGTAGTGGTATATCTGCCATACAAACTGAACGATCAGAATCATGTCTTTGTATGAAAAACTTTTTTTATTTGGCGAGATATCGACATTTAGCACAGATTATTGTTTAATCAACTATGCAATCTCCGAAGAAGTTGTTTAGATATAACACATAGCAAACTGACCGATCAAAATCAAGTTTAAGAGCTCCAAAAAAGATCTGTTTTCCTTATTATGTAACATTAATTTACAACCTGCAATGTTTATATCAAACGTGACTAGAAAGAACTAGCAAACCGTTTTTTACATTATCAGATTTAATTATACATATAGTTGCTATAAGAAATGTGTCGGGTATTATAGCTTCGGTGCAGCCGAAATCAATGTATTTCCTATTTTATATGTACAAATGCTGCAAATACTTATATTTTCTTAAACTATCTATAGTGTAAATGTATAAGAAAACATATGCATTACAGGTTGGTTGAAAAGTGTCTGCGCTCAAAATGAAAAAATACTGTTTTTGGTACTAAATATATTTTTTTATTCAATATAATCTCCCTTAACTTCAATACACTTATTCCAATGATCCTCCACTAATTTTATGCCATCCTTATAATGACTTTGCGGTAGCTCTGCCTGGCTTCATAGCTTCTTCATTTGACGAAAAACGCTTTCCACTAAGGAATTATTTCAGGTTTCTGAAGAGGTAGTAGTCGCTGGGAGCCAAATCTGGAGAATACGGAGGACGCTCAAGTAATTCGTACTTTAATTCGTTGAATTTTGCCTTTGTTAAAACAAAAACGGCTGCAATAATATTCAGAGTTGATTGTTTTAGCTTTCTGCGGATAACCAATGAACAAAATTCCTTTTGCATCCCAAAAAACTACTGATGCCATAACCTTCTTAGCTGATCGTGGTGATTTCACCTGCTTTGGAGCTGAACAACTGTAAACGTTTTTGTTGAATTGTTAACGTGTGCGGCACTAACTTTCCAAACAGCTTTTTCATATGTAATTCTCCATGCAAAGTATGAAGTTCTTGCTCGTCAGAGGCTTCATGCTTAGTCAAACTTGGATCTTCACTAACAATATTTTGTACTTGCTCAATGATTTCTGGTGTGGTTGCAGTTATTGGTCGTCCCACGTTTAAATTCACCAGCCCAAAATTCAACGGTGCGTTTTGTAGGTGAGGATGCCTTCCACACTTCTAACAATCGTTCATAAATTGACTTTGTTTTTACACCTTTCAAAACAAATAATCTAATCACTGAGCGATATTCAATTTTTTCCATATTAAACAAATACTCTCGACACGTCAATTTCAAATGGCTTGTTAACAAAGAATTAATTGACAGAACGACTTATGACTTAGCATGTGTTCCAACTACAGGTGTACCGACTTGAAACAAAAAAATTGGTGCTAGTAGTGCTATTTCTTGGCGAGACCAACCAACTTTTCAACCAACCTGTTTATATGTACATATACACAACTCTCAGTTGATGGCGTGGAATAGGTCAAAAATAAAAAGAATATGTATATAGCTTGATAAAAGCTCACATGTTGTGTAAGAAAAATTCCATTGAGTAAATTTGTAACATATAAACTCGAAAAACAGACAAAATGTAAAAGGATCAGTAGCTTTGGGGAAGATCGCTGCGCAAACACCTGTTTATTTGTTCTAAAATAAGCAAATTACTATTCCCTGACAATCACTGTTATTGTCGCTACTAAATACACTTACATACATACATATACATACATATATATGTATATATGAATGTTACAACTGTTTTATAAGTTCGGGGTGCTACTGATTATCGCACTCGTAAACAATAAGTGTTTTCTTAGTGATTACGAGTATTGACAATGTTTACATCGATAAGCTTCAGAAGTATGATTTGATTGTGTTTTTATACACTATTCGTATACAAGTGAAATATGCATTTGATCCTAGGCAGAAAAATAAACAATCTCCGTGTATATTTTTAATCCTAAAAACTTTGTAGATAAAGCAAAAATCAAAGAACACATCCAAGGGAGATCAATTTCGGTTGCACCGAAGCTACAATAGCTTTCTCAGGTACATAAGAAATGTCAATATATATACTTGTGTACATACACTAAAGATCAAATTTGCTTTATTTTGTGTTTCCAATGAAAATGTTACTGAAATGTTTTAAAAAGTTAAAGAAGACTCTAGATCAAGACGAAAGTATTTGAGTGGTACAACGCATTTAGTGAAGGTCGTGAAGTCATTGAAGATTGGCCTAATGCGAGTCGTCCATCCATACCTGCTAATAACGAGTACATCGGAAAAGTTAAAGAACCAGTGCGTAAAAGTCATTGTGTTGGCATCAGAGAGATTGCAGAGGATCTGAATATCTCCTATGTATCAGTTTAACACATTTTGGCTAATCTTTTGACTGTAAAGCGTATCAGTACTAGACTCGTAACAAAAGACCAAAATGCGCCGTCCCATTCTAGGATAATTGTGATTGATTTTTTGTTTAGACACGATTTGATTATTATCGCTCAGCAACCATATCTCCCAGATTTAGCTACCCGTGACTTTTTTCTGTATTCGAAACTGAAAATTTCGCCATGAGTCCATTGACGCAATTTATAAAAATCGGCAGACAAAGCTTTTGCGTCGTGAACAAACAAAGAGCTGCCAAACAAACACTAATTGACATACATATGTTATGTATGCATGATGATCAAACTTCACACGAACAAAAAAAGATTATACCAATAAATATCTATATTTTTTTAAGTGTGCTTTCCGCGCGCTGTTTAATATATAGACTAATCTGGGTCAAATTTGATCTTGAATGTTTAACTAACTGAATCAAAACTGAAAACGTAACCGACCAACGGTTTGCATCCAACAGAAAACATTTTGCTAAATCTTTCTAGCCTCGTTGTGGTTTATGAACAACTTTCAAGTCGAACAACATTTAAACTAAATTTTATGAAGCTCTTTATCTTGATTTTAATCACGTTCGGTTCGGGGTATAATGATCATAGCAAACAATAGTTGGAAAGCGTTTTAGCTTAGCCGCAGAAAACAGTATGAAAATCCGACTTTTACTTGGTTTCATATACCATATATTTCATGTACATATATATGTATTGTATATTCCTTGTTTTTGCTTTAGTAGCTCAGTAGTTGAAGTGTTATCTCTTTTTGCAATATTTTAAAGTTGGATTGTCCGAAATGTTAGAAAGAAGAAGAAGAAAGAGAAGCTATTTTTTTTGGTGCATGCATAATTGTTATTTATATTCACTGAAAAAACACTCGTTCCAAGATCGGTTCCATCTATACTAATGGAATGCATTTAAAAAAGTATTGAATAGTTCTGCGTGTTCTTCACTTAAATCTAATTGCTTTTGTTGTCAATAATAACTTATAATAAAACGCCATATAAAATCAATAATTTCAGTAAGATTTATTGATATTGCTTTTTAATAGAATTATCTTATTTTTGGCATACATATCGATTGTAAGTCGAACATTTAATTGGTTAATTTTAAGTTGTTAAAAATGCATGAACTATAGTTTAGTAAAAAAACTACTAATTTAAAATGAAAACTCGCACATTTCATGCTGATTATTATTAAATGTCATTGCACAATTACTGATACTTGAAATTATTGCAATAAGTACTTTAGTAATCATCAATTTCACGAACAATAAATGCAGTACAGTCGTCGGGGTTTTTAAACGATTTTCATATAAATTTGCAATTGTATAATTTTTTCAAAGCAGAAAATAGTAATTCATTTTTTTTTTATCACATAATTATGTAGTTTGCAGTACTTAATTTGTATTCGCATTCAAATTATCTTAATTACACTTAAATCTATATGTAAGTTGCAATGACTAAAATTGTTTTGCGTAAAATAAGTAGTAAGCTTTTGCTCGCTTGTGTATGTGTATATACAAATATATGTTTTTTTATTGCAATTAAATATAATACTATTACGAATATATACATATATCTGCACTACTTGAAAAAAGGAATATGTCTAAAATGCACTTTAAGTTCATTAAGTTGCTGGTAATCTTTCACTTAATTAGTTGAATATATTTTTTTTATATTTTTCCACTCCTTAATTTCTTGAAATTTTCGATATATATCGAAATCGTATTAGCATCTTTATATTGCAACTTAATATTGCACAATCAATTAATCATAAATCCAAATAAATAAATCCGTCATTTAAGCAAAGCTACATGGTATTTGTGTAGCAATTTAGTAGTTGCAAAAGAACACAAGGTAAGATATCAAAAAATAATTCGGTTTCATAGCCGAATGTTCTACTTGTACTAAATATTTATATAGCTTTATTTTCTAAGATTCTAAAAAGAATTATTAAAAAAACATACATATGAGTATAACCAAGCTATAGCATTTCAAATTTGCGGCGCTTGCAAAACGAAATAGACTCGATGTCTTAACCACTTCTGAATATGACTTTAGATTATCGACTATAAGACTATCTGCTGTTATTGTAACGGTGAGTCTAAACATCGTTTGTCATCGAAATCATCTGACGGGTGCTCCAGAAAACGAGTTGTTATTGCTGACTGGCCGATTGCCTTGTAAGTTGCCAAACACCTCGCTTTGTGTTGTGACTTTATACTTTGCTTTATACAACCGCGGTCATGTGCGGAGTAAAGGAACTCAAACTGTCGAACGTTCTACCCAAAATGTTGGGATTGTTTACTGTCGGTATGTTGGCTTCGTCGACAAAAATTTTAAAGTCTAGTCTGTACTCCTTCGTCCAGTTAGTGAATAAGGTCACAGTGTATTAAGCAGGGGGAGGGTGTTAGTATCCTAGCAGTGAAGCAGCAAGTAAAAACAACCGTATAAATTTAAACAAGTCTTATCGATTTCAGTTCGCGACGTCACTACGGTGCAATGCTTTCTTTCTCTACTGACTCACTTTTTCCGACCAGAACGACGTTGAAATACTTGACGGATCACTATGGCATTGGACATCATCCAACGCGTATTCGAAAAGAAGAGAATTACAGAGGTCAGAATCGCTACTTCTTATCGTCTTATGATTAGCTACTTATGGCTTTCATAACAAGCACTGTACAATACATTGATTTCCATTTTATGGAGAAATGTGAGTCGCTTCGGTGACATTTTTGATCCAACCTAACCTAAATGTCTACATTTAAATATATAGGAATTAGAAAATATTATAGAAAAGTTAACTACGTCTGTGTTAATGGCATAATAAATACACTTTAAAGTTAAAGAAATAAAAAAAAAATCTGGTCTCCACACTTTCTGTAACTAAAATATAGTTTGTTGTATTATAGTCGTAGATGCCCAAATTAAGTTCTTCCTTATCCGTTCTCGTTTACTTTCTTTAACATGAGTATTTTGAGTATTCTAATACCCTAAACAGGGTATATTAAGTTTGTCACGAAGTTTGTAACACTCAGAAGGAGGCGTCACAGGCCATATAAGGTATATATATAATTAATCAGCACGACGAGCGGAGTCGATTTAGCTATATTATGTCCGTCTGCCTGTCTGTATATAAGTAAACTAGTCTCTTAGTTTTTGAGATATCGACCAGTAATTGTGCACACATCCTTTTCTCACAAAGACACTACTCATCTGTCTGAAGCGCCGATATCGGAACACTATAGCATATAGTTGCCATATAAACTGAACGATCGGAATCAAGTGCTTGTATGGAAAGCTTTGTCATTTGACGAGATATCTTCAAGAAACTTAGCATGGATTGTAATCTAAGCAATCACGCAATCTTTAAAGAAATTGTTCAGATCGGACCACTATAACATATAGCTGTTATACAAACTGACTCCCTTATGCTATAAAAAATGCACCTATTAAGGATATGATAGCTTCAGTGCAACCGAAGTTAACGTTTTTCTTGTTTTTTTATTTTGTAAATTTTGTATTTTTTAAATCCTATGTCTAAATTAAATTAGTTTGTATAATATTAAGCAAATTATATGAAGCATATATGTAGCTTATTAAATCTTTTTTTATACATATTCTTAGTATATTTCGGAAATATTACGTTTTTCTTATTATCACCTGATACGAGTAAAATGCAAGATCGCCACTTCGTACACTGACTAGCCAAAGAAATTAAAATACTCTTGCTTCTGCATTAATTCAGTATCTTATATCACTATCCTTTCGACGGTTTGTGTTCACTATTGAGTTGTAAATACATGCATATTTTCATATATAAATATTTATGTAGCATATTCGTTTTTTGCAATCTTCGGGCACTTACAGCGATAGCTCTTCCGTGGAGGTATTTACATGTACACGTGGCACATCGTGTGTCGGTTGTATATCCATTAGTATGACGACCTCGTATGGACTACAATCGGAGAGATGTAGAAATGAGCATAGCCAACCATAGAAGCCCTTCTCAATATCGGCTATCTCATTTAACCAACTGTTAAGCTGTAGACTCAATTGTGCAATGCCCGAATAGATGCCCAGACCCACGGTGCAAACAAGTATGCCGACGGGATAGGCGAGTATTAATATAGGTGACATAAAGAATTTATATATACACGATTTCTCCTCATTGAAGTAATTAAACATATTATACCAGGTTAGTGTGCCAATATAAAATGAATAAATGCTTGAGATTATAGTAATGAATGGAAGACATATTAAAGATAAAACTAAGATATGTAAACCGGTTTTCGGTGTGCAGGTGCAACATAAGTTTTGCTTCTTATTCACTTGTGTAGCTGCCGCAACTGCATTGATCTGTTCCAATTCTTCACGACTGATATTAATTTGCAAATCGACGCTTTGACCTTTTTTGCGACCACGTTTAATTGTACCTAGGTTGGAAAGATGATAGAGATAAAAAAATATTATATATTGATATATGAATAATTAAGCACTTTCTGAAAAGATACTGTGAGCATCCCAACAACTTAGTTACACAAATATTATATTTAGGGATGAAAAAGTAACTGTGAGTAATTTTTTGAAAATATTTATTCCCTTCCAGACGATGTTGTCGTGCAAGGAAAGAAAAGAAGACATAGACGAAATGGATGTAGTTAGAAAAAAAGAGACGTTTCACCAACAATCATTTGTGTCCAAATGTTTTTGAGAAGATGACCATAAAATGGACAAACCGAAAAATATTTCTTTGAGTTCGATATTGTTGTTAAAGAAAACAACCTTGTTAGAGATAAAACCTCGAAAATATTTAAAGCAATAATCGAGGAATCACACTGCGTCAGAGAATATCCTTACAAACAGGGAGGCATTCGATATGGTGGCTGCTGGAAAACGGCTGCATATATACTGGGTTACGGACAACAAGGGCATTCCAGGATACGAAATAGATGATGAGATCGAAAAAGGTCCGTTCACTTGGGTACCGAACTACTATAAGAAATACGTAATTCGCTAAAAACGAAACGCCATGAAATTTTTGAACGTACTGACAGGCGGTTCAGGCAACGAATGGAATGCCTTAAGAACATGAAGGATCGCCAAGATCACGAAGAAAGGAAAAATACGCATGTCTTTTACTCAAATGGTCTCGAAAAGACTGCAGAATAGTTGTTGGCCTAGTCACAGGTCACAACTTACTGGCATCACATGTGGGCCATATAGGCAGTATTAACGATGACACATGTAGAAAATGCAGGGAAGAAGGGATGAGAGACTCGCTGGGCCTTATTTAGAACTCGGCTTAGATATCTAGTAGCTTCGCAGTTCAAGGGAATAAATGAAGTATCAGATTTCAAGTCTCTATTAAACTTCACAAAAAGCGTGGACATCCTGTACGATGTAAACTTCGGCTCGTATTGAACTGAATCTCCATCTAATACTATAAAGGACTAAAAGGGATAGGTATGACATGACAGCCAGCCAGTATAACCTAACCTCAAAGACATCTAGAAAAAGAAAGTTTGACACGTATAAAATGTGAGATTTAGGCGACTTTGGGCACAATGAGTAGGTAATAGTGAAATCTAGACATAGCAAGAAAATCTAACGATAGATTTGTGTTGTGTTACTTAGGCAATAATCCATTCGACCAATGATATAATATTGAAGTTGAACAGTTTATGCACTCTTGCACATAACTTACCTGTGATAGTCAGATAGTTACTATCCATTGACCTTCTCGTATTATACCGCTCCAAACTATGCATATCGACATTCAAAACACTGGTTTCACCTGATTCCAGATCTTCATAGTTGACAATTTCCGGCGATTCACGCTGACTACGTATATGCGATGGATCGGTGCGTATATTTACACGTTTCTTCGATGAAGAGCGATTACTAAGGCAATCGTGTGATTTCGCATCCAAACTACTCTCTGAATAACTGCTCGGCGTAACTGTGGTGCTTTCATGGCGATTCGTTGATTTTGTGCCCTGTGAAACGCTTTCGAAGTTCTGTAATTCATTATCATCTTCATAAATATTATCCACAGACTGTGAAGACTTGTGTGTTAACTGGTCGTCGGCCGTATCTCCATTGCATTGTGCTCCTGGTATTTGTGGAAGTGGTTGTTTGTTTTTCAATATCAATGATGTTTTGAGTAAGTCTTCGTCAAGTGCCGGATTAGATGGAGATAATTTTTGTCGATTCTGTAGTGGGAGAGGAAATATTAATATTTAGGGTGTTTATGCAAATAACACGAAGGTCGATGGTTAACAGTTATCTATGAGCCAAAGTGTGAGTATACTGACTTTTTAAAGTCTCGAGGAACTTCCTCCTCGTCTAACATTGCTGAATTAACTAAATGATTACGGTGCGGTTATGTCGATACTGACAGCGTACAACAAATATATGCTTAGGATAGGTTCTTATATAATATAATATAATAGAAATTACTTAGAATCGAAACCTATTTACGATCTAGTCGGGTCTACTTAACCGGAACGGACTTTTATTCGGACAAGGACTGTCAACTCGGCAGGATTTTATAATTATAATTTTTTAATTATTTTAAATCACATTCTTGGAAACATCAGTCTATCTCATTCTCCGATATAGGATTATTATAAGATATAGCTGCTCATATTTCGAAACCTCCGATATCGGATTATTATAAGATATAGCTGCTATGCAAACTGATCGATCAAAACCAAGTAATATATTTGACAAGATAAGAAGAAATTTGGTACGGATTATTGTCTAGGGCAACGCTACAATCCCCAAAACTTCTTGTTAAAAAAAAACTCCGATCCAAACAAGCTCTTGTGTGGACATTGTTTTTATTTGACATGATATCTTCATGATATTTGGCATAGAGCATTGTTAAAGGCAATCTACAATTTCCGCACATATTGTTCAATTCAAACCACAATAGCATACGCTGACAACAAACTGATCGATCAAAAAAAATAATACCTTTTCATACTCGGTGCAACTGAAGATAACGTTTTTTTTCTTAATTTATAAAAAATTTGAGCAGACATCTTGAAATATTTAAAAATTTTGGGGAAGCTTAACCTCGATTGTCTCGAACTTAGCACGTTTTAGTTATTAAAATTTAGAATAGGCATAATTCAAATCTTTTACACACACTACTCTGTACTTGAACTGAGTAATCTCACTTTGTCTATAACGAAAGCAAAAGTCAAGCTGAAAATGCACTTTACAATTTCGGAGTCGGTGTCTGTAACTACTACCCTACTTTCATATTTGCGTCAGTCTTGTTTCACATACACACTCACACGTATAGACGGAAACAAAAAAAAATGCAAAACTTTAAAAAAAATTACTATTTTGCATTCACTTTATTTTAAAATAATGTTATATATGTAATATAATCTCACCTGAACATTAACTATGTGGTCCACGTAGTTTTGTGCGCCATTCACTTTTTTTGATGTCTGTCGTTTTCGAGGTGGAATAAAAACTGGGCGTTCCTCGCCGCTTACTGCACTTTTACTAACCATAATCGTTTAAATGAAGGATACGCTTAAAGCACAGTTCTTAGGGTCTTACGAGCAAATTATTTTTTTTTTGAAAATGGGTCTTTACAAATATATAAGGAAATACAAAACTTTTAAGCACTCTGTTCTATATTTTATAATAACATTTTTTCAAATATATACCTATATATATATATAATATTTTCCACACATTTTATTCATTATTTATCGATCCACCATTATTTTATATTACTTATTAAATACATTTGCATCCATCGCTTATTTATTTTATATATTTAACACGCCCATCTTCTATCTTCTTATATCTGTTAAAATATATAAATTAGCTGCATGACAACTGTCGCAGGAACTAAAGTGAAGGAATAGTCCACTTGCACTTGCCAAATATTTACATGTGTGTTTGTTTCATATGCATGTACACTAAATATGGATGCGTGTGGGTGAAAGGACATTTTGCCATTGTTTCTTCCGCTGCGATTGATGCTGCTGTTGCTTTTTGCCGTGTCCGTTTATTGATTTTTCATTATTTACGTCCTTGTTCCGATTGTTATTATTATGCACATCACTTTCGCAAGTACCGAAGTAAACAAAAACAAGAATAGGCCGCAGGCACATTCGTTCTATGCCAAAAGCAAAGGCGGTAATATATTTCTATGAGAATTAAGAAGAAAAACAGAAATGCTAAACAAGTGATACAAAAGAGAATGAAATGGCAAAGTAAATAGAGCAATTGTTTTTATTCTTTGTTGTTGCATTTGTGGAGAAATATGATACGAGGAAAGCGAGAAAAAAATTTGCGCTGAAAATGAAAATTAAAAAAAAAAAAACGGTAATTACTAATATATATATGACGACATATACATATATAGCCATATAATTTCATAAAAATAAATTGCGGTTAGCTGCTATCATTTTTCGGCTAAATATTTTATAAAACTTTTTAACATATCAATGTTTTTTTAGTAACAATCATTTATTTATTTTTAATCTGTTTTTTTATTTATTCTAAATACTCTTAATTTTCTTCTTTCAATAGTCAAAAACACTTATAGCAAAAGAATCTACAGCTACAGAAGTCTACATAAATCAGTATCGATAAACGATTATTGATCGAATTTTTTTGACTTTTCTTGTAGTAATGCAACACTGTTTTTGCAATTAAGCAAGGCAACAAAAAATAAAAATAAAATATTAACATCTCAGTGTTTTGAATAATTCATTTGTATCGTAAATTTCATCTTATATTGACGAAGCTATTTTCATAAACGTGCATAAAAATATTGTAAATAAATACCGGCATTTGATAGGGGAATGTCAATGCACCTAAAAAGCATACAAATGACGCTCGTTGGTCTTGCTGCTCGTAAACTTTCTATAAAAAAACGGTAAGTTACCTTAATCACGTTGCTATAATTAATATAATTTTTTAATAAAAAAAAAACTGCTATTTTTTCAGTAATGCCAAACTGGCGGCTGCTTTCCCGAATGGTGTACGTTGCCAGAAATGCTTACAACTAGGACACTGGTCATACGAATGTAAAGAGAAACGTAAATATGTGCAACGCAGTTCACGTACCAAACAACTTAAAAAGCGACTAGCCGACAAAGCAAGCATTGAAAGTAATGACAGTAGTACAACTAACGCGTTGACAAAATCGGCAAAAGCAAAGCGAACAAAGCGTACACGAACATCTTCCGGATCATCAGCAGGCAATGCTTCGATGGGCTCAAATTCAGACACACAGTCTTCTTCAGACTCAAACGATAGTAGTTCGTCAGATTCGGATGAAGATTCTTCTAGTGATAGCAGTTCTTCAGACTCCGATAGTGATAGTGATAGTAGTGATGCCGGCTCTGGTAGTGATTCTAGCGATTCAGGTTCTAGTAATTCGAGCGATTCAAGCGACTCATCCAGCACCGAGGAGGCACCAAAAAAGAAAAAAAGTCGTCGTACCTCTAGTTCATCTAGTGATGATGATATTTGATTGAAGCATTAATGAAGCAAAACATATTCAGAGAAGAACCATAATGAGCTTTAGTAGTGTAAGTTGATAATGCTAAATAATGATGTTACATTGTTCTTGGAATACTTTTCATTCATATGTATTTATATACGTAAACATTTGTTTAGTCACACAACGTCAGTAAAGTTTTCAGGATGTTTCAGTTGTATAGTTTTTGTTAAAACCAGCTATAACAGCGCGTGTAAAATAGTATAATCATTAATGCATAATTATCCACCTTGTGTACAACACTACTTGTGTACAAACACACCAAATGATTTCATTTAAACCATTTTTGCTTCAAGTTATAAATATATGTATGTTTATTTAGGTTGAAATCTCAAAATGCTAGATATTATATTAGTAAACTTAGCAAACATCAGCTATTTAAATAAAATAAACGAATTTGCACATTGTGAAGCTATTATTTATATAAATATAAACTTATTGAAAATTTTATTGTTTATAAAAACACGTATTAGATCTGTTTAAACAAAATCCATTTATTTATGAATAAAAATAATCACAAAGTCACACAAGTCACTGTCATCTACTTTGTTGTTACTATAACTCGTCGTCCTCCTCTTCTTCTATGTTATTGTTACCTGTTGCTGTGTTTAAATATATAATTTGTTTATTAATGACAACAGCATCGATTTGCGCGTTTTCCTGATCTAGTGGTCCACATGTTAAGTTATGTGGCAATTGAGCGAGTGTTAAACTGGCTTGGGAACTGGTGCTGGGCTGCTCTTGCTCACATCGTTGGTTTAGATTTGCTGATTGCATGTTTTCACTTAAAGCTGCTGCTGCTCCTGCTTTTAACTGCAATTCTTCTACCTTTCAGGTTAAAATAGCTAGTTAAGTATATATGTACATTTAACACAGGTATTGAATTTTACATACTTTCAGTTCGTTAATGGCTTCGTTGACTCTTCCCAGTATGGTTTCCAGCTCCTTTTGTATCTTACTGAGCTGAAGCTGCTCCTTTTGGATTCTTGCGTTATTTACAAAAGTAGCTTTCGAGTTTCCTCCCATTTAAATATTATACAGCTACAGCTTAAATTACTTTGTTTTTGTGACCACTTTCTGTTTACAAACGTCTCTCTTCTCTTTCAAAGGCTGAACAGCATTGCCATTCAAAATGTATTTCCGTTTCCACCACAGTCAAGTATACGTAACCAAATCAGACCAAGATTTTTATCCGGCCAAAGACTGTCAACTCGGCAGAATTCTTCTAATAAAGTATAACTTGACTTATTATCAAAATATCATTTAACAAAAAGACATATTATTGAAAAAATTTCACAAGACCTCCTTGTAATATGTTCCCATTTTTGGTTTGACAGTTTGTGAATTATTTTTTATAAATAATGGCAACTCTAGTGCACAGCTGCTTAGTTTATTCATATGGAAAAAAATTTTCTCGCATTAAATCAAACAAAATTTGAGTAAAACTACTAAAATTTCGCTGGGTGCTGTAAAAACTACTTTTCAAAATATATCGAAGATCAACTAAAACATTAAATGCATATTTGAACGATTTATTAATAATAAAACAAGCTGTAGTCGACAGCAGAAATATAAAGTGACGAACAATAGGAAAATCAAAGTCCAAAAAATTATTTGGATTAACAAAATTGCTGGTTAAATTTTTAAATATAGAAGCGAAGGTAGGTAGAAAATAAAATCTCAAGGTCAATCTTAGCTTTGCTAATCTGTTAATCACAGCAACGTCTTTATTTAGATACAAATTCAAGCAATGACAGAACATGAGGCATTGCTTCAACAAAGTTGTAGTATGTCTTCGACGTATATGACTCCACAAGAGGAGGCATTACAAACACTTTGCAAAAAATTGTTGAAATCAAGATTTTTTCGCGGCTACTATGAGGAACGTCGTTTCGTGGATTCTGTAGCGGGCTACAGGGATATAATTGGTTTACATCGTGGTGAACGTGAACTGGAGCTTTTATTGCTGGACATTAGAAGTAAATTGAAGATTTTCTACCAACATTCACCACAGGTATGGATTGGCGTAACGCACGGTGCTTTTATGGGAATAACACCTAAAAAGAATACACTCGATACACATATATGGGTACAACTGCAAGAAGTTGCATTTGGCGAGTATTGGTTCAGTATAAAAAGCATACGCTTTCGAACGAATGAAGTGATATTAAAGGTAAATGTTGTGCGCAGTGTAGAAGCTGAGTCGCGATTTGAAAGAAGTCAAATATCAACGACTGCGCCAATGAACGTTAAAGATACTTCAAAATCGGCGTTAAAAACAAAAGATTCAGTGAATAGATTTAAAAATGCACCACAACTTACCGAGGACATGGTGAATGGACCTACAGTGATACAACCAGAAGTGCTACAAATCGGTTACGAAGACTTTGTTAATATTGTACGCGACTGGGGTAAAACAATAAAGCACTCAGTTTATGATTTTATGTCAAATGATGTAAACAAAGATAATGTAAAGGACTTCCTTAAATTTCTGGGCTTAGTTGTGATCTCCCTGCTGACCGGCTGCGTTGTAGCTATTAAGTACTTGGGTACTTTTACACTGCGTTTTATGTTTGAATTTACCCGCTTTACGCACGTAATGACACCAATTATACTAAAGGTAATTGATACAATAAATAAAATTGTTGGTGGATTTTATATATTGCTAGCAATGATTTGGAAGGATGCATTTATGAAAAGAAAAATGACACCCATACAACAACTGCAAGATTTTAATGCACAACCGCCCAGAGAATTAAAAGCTATAGAATATAATCGACAACAATACACAAGTAATTTTGAATATAATATACGTCATAATTCATTACAACCGCCTGTGATGCGCACTAGTATGGGTCCCTTTACAGAGTTTGAACGAAAATTTCAATAAGGTGATATTTTGCTGGTGAATTTTAGAACAACTTTATCCATGAATCTGATTGTTAGATATACTATTTATTACAAAATTGATTGCCTGATAATATATTGTTTCATAATTTTACGAAAAAGTAACGCATTCCTTATAATGTATGTAAATACAATACACCCATACGAAAACGGTAAAGCAATATAAAATTTGCTAAGAGAATTAACTATAATTTCAAAGCAAATGTTATATATTTATTATTAAACTACTGGCAACATGTGTATTAAGTATAAACGGGATAAAATTATTGAATGTCACTGATAGCAAATTATTTTAAGGTGCTTGTGCTGAAATGAGCGATAGGTGAACTAAAGTTGAATAACGTCATTCAAATGCAATCACAATGGCAAATAATTTAGACAAGCTAAAGAAAGGGTTTTATTTGTTTTAGACAAATAACTGAATTACAATTCTTTGCTTCTATTATTTTTTAATATGAATTATAATTATTAAACTTTAGTTAGCCTAACGTTCGTTTTGGTGCAATTTATTATATTAGAGATATACAATTTATAATTATGTGACGATTAAAGAAGAAATTAATTGTGAATTACTTTGAAAATGTAATAAAAATATATACGATTACAAATAAAAAGCAACAATTGTAAATATAAAATAGTTTAAGACTTATTTAAAAAGATGTGGACTCCATGAAAGTATGTACATCAAACGAATTTAGATTATTGTAAGTACTTACTACTACTCACCGAGCCAAACAACATTGGATCGTTGTTATTTCGTCGATCTAACCCTGTTTGGATTCTTGTAATGTACTATGACGGCCTATTCCGCACTTTAAATTAATATTTAAATTCTAATTTTACATGTGTAATGTAATAATAATTTGTAATTTAAAAGTTCTTAAAATGGAACAGGTATTTTTAAAGTTTATTGGTTTATTTATTTAAAATTTTAACAATAAATGCATTTGAACATAAAGTTTTAACCATAATGCAAAAAATTTTTTATTATAATTTTTTTTTTTAAATTTTTTAACAAACTTAACTCACAAATAGTGAGAAAGAATATTGCTGAGTTGACAGGACAACAAGGATTAGATTTATATTATAATATAATTACCTATACCAGCATCGACCCCGAAAGCAAGATCACACTCATATTTCTATCAGGTGTACCGGTATGAAATTTCTTTGTGAAAATGAAACACTAATTTTGAATGGAAAAGTAAAAACAAAAAGGTGTTAAGTCTGGCGAATACGGCGGGTGGGGTAGCAGCTCCCAGCCAATTACTTTGATTTTATCCTGAACCGATTTTGCTTTGTGTGCAGGTGCATTGTCGTGTAACATTACTTTAATTACTTTACCGTGTCTTCTGGCCCATTCTGGTCGTTTTTCGATCAATGCATGGTTTAAATTGATCATTTGTTGTCTGTATCGATTAATATTAACAGTTTCACCAGGTGTTAGAAGCTCATGATTTTCTCCCTTTAGGATTCTTAAAATAAATCCATTTTTCATCGCCAGTGACAATCCGAGGCAAAACTGATTTTCTTTCTTGTCTTTGAAGCAAAATTTCACAAGTGTTTTTTCGGTTTACCATTTGTCTTTCATTCAATTCATGTGGCACTCATTTTCCAAACTTTTGGATTCTTCCCATAGCTTTCAAACGGTCTCATTCATTATCTCTGAACCGTTGAATCCAGCTTATGCATGTTGCTTCTGATGGAGCATGATCACCATATGCCTCGACAAGCATTCGATGCGACTCTGAAGTACTTTTCTTCAAATGGAAACAAAAACTTAATGCTTTCCGCAAATCATCACTTTCCGGTATAAAATTTGACATTTTCAACACAATGAAAAAATATGATGATGATAACCTTACAGTCATTGAATATGTTTGACAGATGTTATGCCAACCGAACAGAAAATTAAGGGTCGTTCACAACAAATATTCCCTACCAACACATTTGTATCTTAGCGCTCATTTCATAAATGTACATCTGGTAAATCCTGATCCATTCCAGTAATTCAAACAGCCCAACCAGTTACGGTTATCCAGACCTAACTGTAGCTAAGCAATAAAACAATTTCTGCCAATATTTTTATATTCTAAACAGGATATATTAAAAAGCACACGAAGTTTCTTGAGATATCAATCTGAAATTTTGCACGTCCCGTGGAATTAATTGCTTGTGTGGAAAGTGTTTTTATTTGATAAGATATCTTCACGAAATTTGGCAAGGGTTATTATGCAAGGTAACGTTACCATCGGCGAATATATTATTTAGATCGGCTCATTATAGCACATATGTAGATGTCATACAAACTGAACGATCATTATCAGTTAAACATTTTTTATACACTTTTATGGTTTAAAAAATGCACCTGTGAAGGGTATTATAGCGTAGGGTATTATGTTTACACTCCAAAAATCAAAATTATTAATTTCATAATTAATTAAATTGTGGTATACTTACTATTTAATTAAATTTTTAAATTAATTAATCAAATAGTATTACTTACTGTTTATGTTTATATATATTTCCAACTTTCAAAAAAATTTTGTAATCATAATCATTAATATCTTTATTTAATTCGCATAATACATAATAATCATAATAGTAATTATAATAATTGTAATCTGTTTATACATAAGTAATTATATAATAATAATAATATTGTGGTTGTTTACACTTTCACTTTTCATTTACGCTTTTGCATTATTTGCATACGTTCTTTGTTTCTTTAAATATTTTTTTTTCTTTTATAATTTGTTTTACTTTTAATTAGTTATTTATATATTATTTCTTTTTTTTTTATATTTTTCTACTATATATGTCTTAAATTTTTTTACACATTAATTTCAAATGCATTAATTCATCTTTATATCGTTTTAAACAATGTGTATGTGTGTTATTTAAATTTTTGTTTTATCAATTAATTTGTGTATATGTATTTCATATTTTTATTAAATTACTTCTTTAATTATATATATATATATATATAAATATTTTATTTTTATTTTTTGTAACAAAAAAGTTTATTCCCTTTGAAGCTTTTCGCAGTATTTGCTACTTTTCTTGTTCTATATTTACCCAAACGGCTTGCGCTCTCCTAATTTTTAGCTCACTTGTGGTGAACTTTAATGACAACTTCTTTTTTTTATTTTCAAATTCAATATACATAAACATAATTATGTATATATATATGTTTTTGTATGCATAGTTGCTGTTAGCTTTAGTTCTAAAGAAATTTTGTTATGTAATATATATATATATATATGTATGTATACATATAAGCTATTCATATACATTGATATATGTATGTATAAATATTTTTTATAACATGTGTTTAATTTAGTATGTTTATTTTGTTTTAAGTGTTTATATTTTTTATTAGTTTATATTTCTTGTAGTATTTTGGATGTATAGTTATCTTCTTGGTTACTATTTAATTTGCCATTATCGTTACCCGTTTCCTAGTTTTTCATGTACATATCGGAAATGTTTTACTACAATATCCTACGCTGCTGCAAACAATTTTCTTAAATTTCAATAACAAATGTGTGGTAATTGCGTCTGCCACAAAACGTATTGCATTTTGTGTGTTGAATGTTTGGAGCAGAGTTTGAGACACTGACGCTAACTAGTGCCCTTCAAATTATAATGGAACATGCGTTTAAGTTAGTCGTTTTTTGCAAGTTCAATTTCAGCAAAAGTTTTACATTTAAAAATTGTTGAAGACATTTGTAGCATATACAAAATAGAAGCATTTAAATAAGTTTAATAACATTTTGATATCATATTTTGTAATTAATTCAGAAATTTAACTTTTATACTGAAAAAAATATTAAAATGAAATTATTTTAAAAAGTTAAATAATTTTTTTTGGTTTTACTATAATTAATTTAAAAAAAAGCGAAATTTACATATAATTCGAAACAAAAATAAAAATAGAAAGCAGTCATTACTTTAAATTCCAAAAACAATGCTTAATTTGTAATGAATTTTATACTAAGCAAAAAAAAAAAATTAGTACGAAAATATACATACATACGGTTTTAGTGGTTTCTAATTTTTATTATTTTTTCCAAATAACGTCATAAAATAAAAAAAATTAAAATTCAAAACTCAATTCTTAAATGATAATAAAGCAAACAGTAAAAAGATAATATTTTTTGTATATTAGAGTCATAACTAAAATATTATCAAAAAATATTATCTTTTTATTGTTTGCATTATTAAAAAAAAATATTTATATTTATATATTATTTTATTAAATTGTGTAAATTATTTACCATATTTTTATTTTTAAATGTAAAAGAAAATGTTTAATATAAATAATTTTTAAATAAAAGTAATGTAAACTTTGAAAAAATAATGAATTCTTTTGTTAACACTGCACATTAAATTAAAATATTAGTGTAAAAAATTATTAATAAATGCAATTGAAAAAACAAAAACAATTTGTTATATTGAAAATGTTTTGCATAAGATTTCAAAATTGCTAAGTTTTATCGGAAATTTTATAGCCCAAAGTGTAAAATAAAAATTTATATAATTTATACAAATGTATTAAATATTTCAAATTAAACAAAAAAATTAGTTATTATTCTGGAATTTGTTACATCATTTGATTAAAAAAAAAAAAATAAAATAAATAACACTAGAAAATCGCGAGAAGAACCATTCGGCTCATTGATAGCCCAACATAACCCGCTTTAAACTCTTTAGTGTTCTATACCAAGTAAATGTGTTATATAATATTTTATTTGTATAAATCAACAACAATTACATTAGGTTTTTTGTTTTCAAATTTGTTGGTTTTGCGTTACATATTATAACGTTACGAATTATTGTAATTGATTTATAATAAATTCATTCAATGTGTATTTCATTGGCAGCAATACAGTTTTCAATACAAACACAACCACAAAACATAAAATACAGTTACATTTGATTGGAAATAAAAATGTTTTATGGTACACAATAAATTAAAGGTAACGTCAGAAAGTAACGGTAAAGCCGTCGATAGCAAAAGTCGGGTATGGAAAAGTATGTGAGAGGAGAGAAAAGAAGAGAAACCAGAAAATATATGTTACACGTCAAATACAAGTACAATTATGGTAAGTCAAGTAAACGTAGTATGCGTAGTAATTGAAAAGTTTAAATTTAAATAAACAAACAATACATTTTCATACATTAATGACAGATCGAAGGGGCAGTACATATTGGTTACAAATATGTATATATGTATGTTGTAGTTGTAGTGTTAGTGAAGCAGATGGTATCAGTGCCATTTAATTATATTGAACGATTATATGTATGAACTTAGTTAGAAGAAGCTACGATATAGGCTCTTAATTACTTTAAATCATCGGTATCTTCGATCAGATCGGCATACTCCTCCCAATCGTTGTTTGTTGAACGTGTGCGCAGATTAGATATTGTCGGTATTTCGTCGTCATCGCCATTGGCATCATCTGTATTGCCGGCGCCGCCACCACCGCGGTCACGACTGTGAGTTGTTGTCGTGCCGCCTGTTGTGTCGCTTACCACTTCGTAGTCCTTTAACTCAGCCTCCAGATCTTTTTCCCATTGTTCTTCTGTACGTGCGTGTGCGTATAGAGTATGCGTTAATTTGTTTTTGTGTATTTTGCATCATTTTGTTTTGTGCGAAAAATAAGAGAGAAAATTACGTTAGTTACCATTTTCATTAAAATCCATATGATTTCTATAAAGTAAATGAAGGTTATACATACATATATGTAGGTATATCAAATAAGAGTTCTACTAGCTATATTGTTATATAAACGTATAGCATATATATATGTATATATATATATGAATAAGTGCATTTAAATATTTATGAATTGTATATGTATATTATTGAATGTAGCATAATTAATACAAGTATTAATATATATATTTGTGTATATATATATAAATATATTTATTAAATATTTAATTTTGGCTAAGCAGCTACAAGTCATTCACATATACACATACATATATACATATAAAAAATAACATGTATAACAGATTTAATTAAGTTTTTGTTTATTATAAAATTAATGCGTGTAAATTTGAGTTTTAGATAAGTTTTGAGTTGAGCATTTTTATATTACTTATTTACTTTTTGTTAACTAATTTTTTTATGAAATATTTATGTCAAGTGAATGGAACGTAAAATACTTATTTTTGCTTCCAAATGGCATTGATGAAGCCGAACAATTGAAAACTTTGCTAAAGTGTCTTGCGAAATCTGAGTGACATAAAACATCATAATTTAGAAAAATCGTTCGCAATTCTCTATCAATTCCACATATTTTGTAGCGAAAATGCTCTAAAAATCATATATATTTTTGTGTGTTTATTTTGCATATATATAACAAAAAATAGTTGAACTTGATTAATTTTTCTTTTTCGTTTCGGTATTTTTGACATTTCTGTCAAAATATTTTTTTATAGTCAAACGGTCACTTAACCTAAAATTAAGTGCGAAAAATATCAATATCAATATTTACAAAACAATCACTTTGTTAGCCAAAGTTTTAGAATTAAAGAAATAATGTGGTAGAGACAATTTAACACTACTTTAATTATAATCTCAAAAATATGTAAAGAGAAGTTAAAGTTAAACGTCAATAAACCGCTTTAAGAAATTTTTAATCATAACGTTTTTTGATGACATTTGTAATGATACTGTAATACATGTTTATATGTACATGGGACGCCATTATTATTACATTTCCAAACCTATTTAATGCTGATTATATGAATTGTTTATATTTTAATATAAGTAAACCTAATTTATGTTTATTTAGTACAAAAATTTCAATAAAAAACTTGTATATACTTAATTAATGTATTAAGCATGTTTGTTTTTCAATTAGTAAGTTATTTCTACATATTAAGAAAAAGAAAATTATATATATATATTATATAATTAACTAATGCACTTATATATGATGTATTGTAAATATATGTTACAAATATATATATTGCATTAAGCAAGAAAGGAATTTGGATATATATTTTGAGAATTTCACCAAAAATGTATAATATTTTTTGCGACTAAAAAAGAAATTTTGCCATTTGCACTGCGTTTTCTTTACAAAACATGCGCCTGCTCACCAAACACCCATTAAATTATTGATATTAGCATAAACCAAAACAAACAAAAATGCTTTTACCTTTCAAAATAAATTAAAATGCTATATTTTGCTATTGATTTTGCGCGTAGCCTAGACAAAGGCCATTGCAGACTTGTATTCTTTTTGGTATGCGTACAGTAACTGTAATGTAATCTTGTTTCAAAAAAAGAATTGAAATGATTAGCGCTAATAGTATAGACAAATTAAGTAGAGTAACTAAACTTATTAACAAATAATTAATGTGAAAGTAAATAAAAAATATATAACTAATATACAATAAAATAATAAAAAAAATAATTTTTTTATTGTAGCATTTACTTAAAGGGATATAATTGCGCAAGCTTTGCTTTTAGTATCCTTTCCGTTCTTGCAGCACGCTTTGTTAATATGTGATAGAGGATTTATTAAATATTTAACAATAGATTTATAGTATATATTTACAAATACACACATACATATACATATATATTATATTATTTATAATATATGTATATTTTTTTCCCTAAAGTTCCTCGTTGTAGCACAGGGCCTCATTGATTTTTAAAATCATCTTAATAAAATACCTTAAAAGCATGCTATAAATGTATTGTTAAATAATTTAATAATTACACACGTACGAGTATATGTATATGTAATACACAAATAAATGGAATAAATGCTAAAAAGCAGGCAAAAAATTAAAATATATATGTATGTAGCAAAACGCCAAAAAATGTCAAACGTTTTAATAGCAAATTTTTACACAAAGGAATTAAATATATTTAATTAATAAAAAAAAATAATAAACAAAAAATAATAAATAATTTTTAAGTGTGCTTTTAATAATTCTAATATATGTCAAAATGTAATGATTGCAAGCATTACAAAGTAGTAAAAACGCATTTACAAATATTATATTCATGCAAAGAAGTAAAAAAATAAAGAACATAGAATAAGAAAACAGGAAAAATTTGTTAAAAAATAAGAAATTTGCTGCTATTTAAAAAATTTTTTAAATTTTTAATTAAGTACAAGTATGTTGCGCTCTTTTTCGGGGACATAGTCGAGGAATATACTATAAACATAATAAATAATAGCAATAATTTTATTCAAAATATTCGATTGTATTTTGTGTGGCGTGTTAGTTAGTAAAAGTATATAGAAAGAAAGAAAAAAGTATATAAATACGACAAAGGTCATAATTTTAAAAAACACCTGACATAATCGGTTTTTATAAAATCTTCATAAATACAAAAGATTCCTAACAAAAGTTGATTTTGGTCGGTCTGTTTGTATGGCAACTATATGCTATATTGACTCGATCTGACCTATTTCTTCGTAGATTGCATCGTTGCCTTGGACAATAACCCGTGTCAAAGTATTTTGTATTTTCATTTCAAAATCATTTTCTCAGAAGAGGCCCATTTCTGGCTTAATGGCTTCGTCAACAAACAAAATTGTAGCTGTTGGGATGAATCAAATCCTCGTGTGGTTTAGTAAACACAATTGCATCACCAAAAATTGGCCATTTGGGATTGTGGTATAGTAGCCTCATCGGGTGTTATTTACTTCGAAATGAAGCAGAACATGCCGTTACCATCAATAGTAAGAGTTATAACACGATGCTGGCCGACTATTTTCCCGGAATTCGATGAAATCGAGGCGGATGATCTCTATTTCCAACAAGACGGTGCGCCGCCTCAGAGATATGGCCGGCAAGATCATGCGATTTAACGCCTTTAGATTATTTTCTCTGGGGGTATGTTAAATCAATGGTTTATGCCCATCAACCAGCAATGCTGAAGGAAATCGAAGACAACATTCAGCGCACTAACATGTAGCCGAAATTCCAGCCGAAGGGCTGCACCGGAGCATCGAAAATTGGCGTAAACGGGTGGAGATATGTAAACGGAGGCGTGGTGGCCATTTGGCCGATATTTTGTTCAAATTAGAAATAACATAAAATTATCTGCATGGCAAAAAGCAAACAGAATCTATTTTTAACCAAATTTGAGTGTTTTATTTCATTTTAACGTCACGTCGTTCTTGTTGGTAGACCCTTCATGTATCGAACTAAAACATACCGGAGGATGAAAGCATTTGAGCCTTTCTTTTTTATTAAACTGGACAAATTGTTACTGAGGAGCAGTACATTTTTTAGTGGTTTTTAAAAATGGCTAGCCCCAAATTTTCAGCGGCAGAATAAATGCAATATTCTCAACCACCACAATTGCAACGCTCACGAATCAAATGGCGTTTCGAAGAAACAAATAAGACACAGCGGATCCATTTACTGCGGACAACTTTGAAGGAGTTTTTAAGGCGATTTGAATTCACATTTTGAGTTTGAAGGTATAAAACTGTAAATTGGAATTCTTAAGGTCACAATTGTGAAAGTCTGAAAAATTGTACAATTATATGGGTCAATAAAGCGTAGTGAGACCTGCTACCCTTTACTTTTTTCCTATTTTATAAATGCGCACAAAAATAAAAAGATGTTTTTTTTAATGTTATTTAAAGGATATTTACGAAAAATAAACCATTTAAGGTTATGTGGAAAAATATGGGTATACTATTGTATTTAAAGCGTAAAGAAGTTGTATGACAAAAAAAAAAAATATCGGGCCAAACTGCAGTTGACTACAGAAGATATCAATGCACATTGTTTGTTAAAAATTTAAGAGTTGACAAAAGAAGACTGTATTATTTAAACACACATACACGCACATACTAAGTTATCTAAAACAGTACACACATATGTACCTATTGAAATATACGAATAGTAAGCTTTTAACAAAAATGTAACATTAAAGAAACGCACAAACGCACAATTAGACAAAAATAACGAACGCACTAAGTAGCAAACGATAATTTATAAATACAAAACGAAGTAAGCAATACAAACGAATATATGATTTATTTTAGTGTGCGTGTTTTTTAATTGTGTTGTTTTTTTTTTTTGGATTTAGTATAAAAATTTCGTAACTGTGGGAATTTTAATATACTAATATTATAATTTATTTAAATATGTGTGTATGAATTTTGGTTAGGAAATTTCGATAACATATTGCATATAATGAGATAATTGCACAATAATTGTGTAATTAATTGTATTGTAAGCGTAATTTATTTGTAAAATCAGCAATACTAAACTTACCACACAAAATCTTTTTGTTATGTTTTTTGACTTTTCATATTTTTTATAAGTAATTTTTTTTTTAAAATTTTTCATTTTTATGCTTCTTGGTTTTTTGTATTATGTATATTGAGTAAACATACTTTTGGTTTGCTTTTTGTTGGATTTGCAGTTTTTTCTTATTTAAATTTCATTGCATTTCTTTGTATCAGGGAGCTTGGTTTCTTTTCTAATCTTTGCGATTTTTGTTTTGGTATTTTGTTTGTTTTACATAAAGTTTATGTGATACTTTGGTTTTTGCTTTCTTTTGTAATTTTGTTAGTTTTGTTTAATTTTTTTTTTGTTTTGTTTTCTTTAAATACATAGTAATTTAGCGTAAATCCATTCAATCTTCTGCAAGATGATTAAAAACGAAACGAAAAGAAAAGTAAATAAATAATTATGCATTTTGTTTCAGAGTAAAAAGTCAAATTGATTTGGTTTTGTAACGAATTTGCAAACGGCGCATATAAATGTAATAATATAAGCATTTGCTTTTTGTGTTTCGTATACTTTTGCCCAAAGGCGCGATGTTTTATAGTAAATACTTTTTCACTTGTTGACTACAAAAACTAATATGAACTAAAAATTTAAATTTCAGAGTAATTTTGAATTTGTTTTTTTTTTTTTTTTTGAGCTTTTATCGGTTTTTGAAAATGGCAAATGTAGAAGAAAAGCAAAGCGTATATGAGCACCAAGGCAAATAAATAAATAAAATCTGTGAAATTCAAGTATTGAAGATTTTGTACAAAGGCAGGGAAGCGAGTTAGCGAGAAAAGCGTGCCAAAAAATTCCAAAGAAAAAATAATAATTTTAATAAAAATAAAAACAAACTAAATTGAATAGTGGTATAATGTTAAATGAAAAATATGTGGAGTAGAGTATGCGTTTATTTTACTAATGGCAAATGTACGAAATTATAAGCTACAAAAGTGTAACACACATACATACACAAAAGTATGTAGGTATGTAGCAAAATCAGTAAATATTGTAGTTATTGTTATTTGTTGCTGTAGTTTAAACCGTTTGCTAACGCGCTTATACATGCATACATATAAATTATACATATATGTATGCAGCTACATGTATGTATTTGTGTAATTGTGTGTTAATTTGCAATACGCAGAAGTAAAATTTGTCAATTATGTCTACGCACACGCTGAAATACGTACTCTTTACGCGTATGTATGGGTGTGTTCGTGTGTATGTGCAATTGTCTATTTTCATATATATATATTTTTTTATTTTTGTTAATTTTATTATTTTCGTTACGTTTGATAGTTGCTTTCGACAATTTAGAATCTTTTTTCTTGTTGTTGTTCACTAATAAAATTTGTAACGCCTATTTCTAATTACATATTTTATTAAGTCGCAATTTCACCTTGCATTTTTATTACATTTTATGTAAACATTTTGTTTTTTATATTTAATATTGTTTATACTTATTTATATATAATATATATTTGTATTTCAGATCATGTTTTATTATTTTTATTATGCTTGTCTTTCGTGACTTGTTAAGGTTTAATAATTAAATGTCATTGCTGTAATTGTTGTTGTAGTAAACGTAACCAATATAAGTTAAGAAAAAAGAAGGAGAGAGAGAAAAAAATGAGAAAAAAGTAAGAAAAACAATTTACACTGTTGTTTCGTTTTTTTTTTTAATTTGTTTTTGTGATTTGTAGTAGAATTCTTATTATTAGATTTTTATTATTTCTTTTGCCTTTATTTCATTAAGCGAAAATTAGCAATGAGACGAATTCAATTTGTTCATGTTATACTATTAAAATCATTGGTAGAAAAGTGCAAAAGAGACGTGTTGCTACAATGCATGTAAAGCAGTGCTTTTGTAGTATATACATACATACATAAACAGAACAACTGCGAGAAAAAAAAAAGTGAATAAAGACGAAAGACGAGTTCTGCACGATGAACGGTAAATATGTTTGGTACGAAAGAATATGCAAAAGTGTTTTGAGGTGAGATTGACGGCAGCGTTTTATGAAAATTATTCAAAATCCAATGATATTTTGAAAGCGAATGAATGCTAATGACGCATCTAGTGAGGTTTTTTTTTGTATATGGTTGAAATGGAAATAGAGAATCTATCTAAGAAAAACTTTATTATTGAGTTTTTTCAAATTCAAGAGTTTTGCAAAATGTTTCTAAAGAAACTTTTTTTAAGAGTTTCCAAATATTAGGGAATTGGTGATATTTATAACTCGATCCTATATATATTTTCGTTACGTTAAATTTATTCACTTATGAATGACAATTTGTTTTTAAATTTCTTTTTGATACTAAGCAACTTTGTTTTTTGTATTTTTTTTTTTTTTTTTAACGATTGTTCGAGTGCGTCAACCTTCAGCGATTTTTTTTGTATATGCTATTTTGTATGTTAAAGACAAAAAAATTAGTTGAGAGCACATTCTGTTTTGTTAGTAGCAGTGCAAAAAATCTCAAAAGCATATTCTAACGAAACGGAAAAAATAAATATAATACAAAACTTTAAGTTATAATATAAACATCTAAAATTGATAATTAAAATTTTTGGGGAATATAAGAAAAATATTTAAATTCATTATTTCCGGTTTATTGAAAGCTTCTTACATTTCAATATTTGTGTTCCGTAATATTATTTTTTTTTTTAGCAAGAATATAGAAAAAATAATACTTTTATTTTTCTTTTATATATTTTTTCCACTAAGAGTTCAACACTGCAATCAAAAATATTTAATATTCATTTTACAAAATTTTTTACGTCCGCGGGAGAAATTCAAAACTATTGGTTTACAATATTTGTTCACCATATTTCAGAATAGTTAAATTTTTGTAAGTGTTTTGAATGTTATGAAAATGTTTGGATTTGTGGCACGTTGTAAACAGTGGTCATTCTTGTAATGTTGTGCTAATAGTACTAATATTAAATATGTAATATATTATTCAAAAATTCAATATTTCCCAATTCCCAAATTCTTGTAAATTTAAACTAAAACTTAAAATATAAAAACATATAAACTTATAATGTATTAAAAAAAATAATTTTAATACAAATATCAATAAATAAACCAAACACTAAAATTAAATTAAATTAAAACATAATAAATAAATAAAAAAACCGCTTACCATCACTGCCCAGCGCTTGTTGCGTCATACTATCAATACCCAATTTGCGCATGCCATCTTTGATTTCTTCCAAATCAGTTTCGGTATTTGTCTGGAATGAATCGGAAACGAACTCCGATTCACTGTGTCGTGACTTTTGGCTTACAGGCTTATCTACACCAACACCAGTGGGTTGTTGAAATATAGGTGAAATTGGTGTAGATGCGTTCGCATCCTTATCACTTGCGCTTGCTGGCTCTTCAACGCCAGCAACCGCAGTTGTTTTTGCTTGCGACTTGTCTGTTAGTGTATTTTTGACTGGCAATCCACATGTTTTATATACATACAATGTTTGATTTATTTATACATTTTTTATTGCAATTAAATCGTTTATACGCGTTGCATTTGCATTTTAAAAATATGTTTTTAATTTTCGTAGATACAAATTGGAATTTAATTTGTGAAAATAAAACGAAATACGAACATGGAATGAAATAAAAGAAGGTGGGTAAAAATATCATTGAAAAATTATAACATACATATGTGGATTAAAAACTTAAAGTATTTTCAATTGAAAGAAAACCACAAAAATAATATATAATAAAACTAGTAAAAAAAGCATAATATCTAAAGTATAAAAGTTAAAGTTGGAAAATGAGGTAATATGTAAAATAACGGTATTAAATGCGGCATCTTGATTTATGCGTATCTCATTAGTATGATGATTATCGTTTAACGCGTTTTAATGACACGTGTGTATATATAAAAGAACAGCAAAAATAATTAAAACTCCGTATATTGAACGGTTGTATGATAGATTGATTGCTTGATTAACGGATTTATGTTGCGCGACGGTGTGCTATAGTGGATTCTATTGATTTCGCATGAATTGATTAATGTTTGCGTTGATTTCCGGCAACAACTACACGTATGTATTTGAGTATGTTGGTATATGTACATATGTATGTATGTATGTATGTATGCATGTAAGTGAGTTAATGTATGTGTGAGTCCCTGTAGTTTGAAAAATTACTTAAAAATCAATTGAAACGTAAATTGACTGACTGCTTGTGTTGCCTGCGAATCAATAAATCAACCAAAAATAATCTTCCACAATTTGAATATGTATGAAAAGCGCAAAAAACGCCATTTTTTGTGTTTCAAAGTAAAGAATAAAACTTAAATTTTATGTATATTTAGGTATATGTAGTCAGCTATTTGAAATCATCACAAATATCGTAGTAAATGTATGAAATAAAATTATACAGCACAGGAGTTGTTCTTTTATATTATAGTATGTATAGTAAGGAAGGTAGTTGGACAGCAAGTTTACGAAACAGAATGACTAGTTACAAGAAAATGATTTGAATTGAAATTTTTATTTGGTGAAAAAAGTAACTCATTGATAATTGCCTCGTAATTACGCAAAATATTTAAAAAATATATTTCAAATAAAAAAACAGAAAGAAAGAGAAAAAAAATATTGATTTTTAAAAGCTTACAGTGTGTTATAACTAATCGATAAAAGAAAGTAGAATACATTGCAGCGGAGTAGTAGTAGTATTAGAAGTCGTAACAGTAGTGGTGTTAGAATAAATGACAGTATTAGAGAGTAGGCAGTACAGCATACTTGCAACAATTTTTTCTTGCTTCATATACTTTTTATTTACTTCATTTTTTAACCACACAGTTAACACACAACTTACCGTCTTCACCGCTTGAGGCCTGACCAACGCCATCGGCGCCTAGTGTACCCAATTCAGCTGCCTGAATAATTAGTGAAACGCGATAGAAATAATTCCGCCAGAAATTCTCCTCGGTTATACTATAAAAAAGAAATATACAAAATTATTGCTTCACTTACTTTGCTTTATTGTGCACTTCGTGTTTTACTTACATTTTGGGCACCAGTTCGAATCGCATTGTTTCCAGCGCTTTATCCTCGGCCATTATGGCAATAGCTGTGGGATACGCTGTATCGTAGTTGAAGTCAAAATCAACACCGGCTGGTGGTGCGCGCACGAAATTGCGACGATCTTGTGAGAGGCCGAGAATTTCCTCTTTGATCTTAGCCTCATTGGCGTGTCCAATCCAAGGTGCGCCACCGGAATCTGCGCCACCTTGACTTTTAATAAAGGCTTCCTGTTCTTTGTTGAATGACTCGAGGATGGGCTGTGAGTTTACAAAGAGATGAAACCGTTACATACTGTTTTGTATGAATATGTTCAATGAGTTTTTATATAAAGAAGCGAATTTCAACTAAATTTTGTAAACAGTCAAACCTGGTTAAGAGAGAGTTCAAGGGACCACGATGTTTTCCTCGATTATAGAGGTTTCTCACTAACTTTGGGGTTGTCTGGAGTATTTAAATTTTATAATAGGTAAATTTCGGTAATCCAAATTCACTTCGTATTTCACATCTTGATTTTCTCGACTCAAATGCATTTATAATTTTCAGTTTATCACTTAACGACAACACGTTGATTTTTCGTTTAGACATTATAAGTTGTAAGAGCTGTACTGTACGTTGCAAATGATATTTATGAACTGCAGTGAGCATGAAAAATAAGTTAATACAGTTATATATTATTTCTTTGAAATACAAGAAATCAAAATAGTTCCTGATTCCTGAAAAAAAGAATGAGTTTTCTCGCTTACCCAGTTCTCTCGTACTCAGGTTTGACTGTACTTTAAATAATAGCTCAAAATCAAGTTTGATTTCAAATACTTGTATATAAGAGTGCATTAAAAAGTATTCGCACTTCTACGGTCTTATTGCTTTAATGAAATTTTTTGTTTCCCTTTATTTATATAGTACTTTTTTATATGTTTTTATATCTTGTATTATACCCTTTATTAAGTTTGCCGTTTGCCACGAAGGCTTTTAATATAAATATATATATATATATAAGTATGATCAGCATGACGAGCTGAATCGATTTAGCTCATTTTTCGGAACCGCCTTTATCGGACGACTTTAGCAAAACATATATATATTATATGTAGCTGTCATACAACTGACAGATCAAACTTAAGTCCTTTTATGGAAAACAACATAGTTCTAGACCTTTTTTATATTCAGGTGCTACAAGTAAGTTGAAACTGAAAAATTCTGAAAAGCATCTTTAGGGTTTTAAATGTACTGGTATAAAACTCTAACAAATCTTTTCTTCACTAATATTCAAATATTCATATCAAAAATAATAAATATTCATGCCGAACAACAAACGAAAACAGAAACTAATATAAATTCATGTTATGAGATTGAAATAGGAAAAACACTTTACTTCTGATCCTCAAAAATAATGTTTGTCCAATGCCACTAAGAAGTTGGTTGGGTTAGGTGGTGGGGTTGATTTTCGCACCAAAGGATCCAACTTAGACAGCTGTGAACGCTGGTTCTTTGTCATACCCAAGACCCCTAATAATCATCAGAACTTCATAGATTGATGAGCGGTTTGAGTTTACCACAAATTTGTTAATCCGCCTAAAATCAATCGCAGCTATTTCACTTCACCTCAGTCTGGTAAAAACTGGGTAGAAGAGAAAAGAGTGACAAAATTAATCAGAGAAGATTTGATGCGCGTATGTGAACCTATTAAAAAATTCTCCAGTCAGAACCCCCAACCGCGGCGAGTTCAGGTTGTTGATTCTAGACCGCAAGAGCACTAGGGAGAGCGACTTGTTCCCATCTGATGAAATTTGAGTAAGGATGCTCTCTGTGGCAAGCGCATAGGCTTTGCAGTTTTCGGTGATTCGGCTGTGAGACAAACCAAACAAGTGGAATAAGAAAAAAACCTGATGCTATTACTAAAGAGCTCAAGGATTATTATAGGATTGAATGCACACCTACTGCTATCTTGATAGCAGCCACCCACGATTAAAAGATCAGACAGTGGTCTGGTAGCCTGGAGCTATAGTTGATAGAGCGCTTCCGACAGAAGACTCTAAGAAGTAATATCGACAAAATTTACAACAGATCTCTATGATATTCCATTCCTACCTATTCGGTCTATTGTTTAGCGGTTGAGATAAATATATATAATTTATAAATTAAATACTTTTATTATAAAGATTATTTTCTTTTGCCAAAACTTACGTTTTCCTTGACAGTCTCCTTGATTTTGGCGCCCGCCTTATTTATGGCCGACGACAAAAATGAGCCGAAATGTTTTGCCTGCTGTGTTACTTTGGTGGTAACTGTAATTTTCAATGTAAATATAATAAAATAAAATAAATGAATTAGTAAAACAATAACAATACTGGGATGTGTGGAAATGCACAAAGTTCATATTTACAAAGTACAAAAACAACAAATGAGTTTATGCGGCATGCATTGCATATACATATATACTTGTATAATATGTATAAAAAAAATATAAAATTGTATAAAAAATACACAAGCGAGCACATTAGTAGCAACCTGTCACCATTTCTTCCATTTTTTGAGACTTTTATATGTAAGTTTTCAAAGTACAAAGAATTAATTTAATTTGAAATTTTTTTTTTGACAAAATGTACGTTTTTTAAATAAATCATGTTAAGCACATTGAGCACATTGTTCACATCAATTTTGTTACCAATTTGATAATCAATTTTGTACTGTGACACGTACTGTTCGCTTCTTCGCCCTTACCCTGTCCGATTTGACCCTCATCTCCAGTGGGAGTGCCACCGCCGGAAGCGGGGTGTGAATCAGCACCCTCTGTAGCGCTGTAATGAAAATGCAAGTAATTCAAATATTAATTAAGCGTAGTTATTTTGATATTTATTATAAAATAACAAAATTTATTAGAAAGAAATAAGGATAAAAGTGCATCAAACTTAAAAATATCGCATGCATTAGAAACATTTTTAAATTGAATATTTATAACCAACATTCATACAAATACTTGCATGCAAAATTCAACAGTTTAAAGTTGCTCAAATATAATAAAATATATAATTTAAATATTTAAAATACTAGAATTTACAAATAAATAAAGTTATATAAGAAAACTATATATATTATTTAATAATTATTTATTAATTTGGAGTCATTTATGTTTTTAGTGCTATATTTTACAATTTACTTAGGTGGAGTTGAAAAAAGTCAGTCTCTATTTCTGAGCGTTGTGTGGATATATTGTCTATGCATTTAAATAAGCAAGAGGTATACAGCTTGTTTTGGAACATTAAAAAAGATATGTATAATATATAAAGCTATAATACCCTTCTCTAATATAAAATATTGCTTACAAGAACTTGATTTTGATCGGTCAGTTTGTATGGCAGCAATATGCTATAGTTACTCGATCTGATTAATTATTTCGGAGACTGCACTTGCGTTGTCTTAGAATATAACCCATGTCAAATTTCGTCAAGATATCTCGTCAAAAGAAAAAGTTGTCCGTACAAGCACTTGATTCAAATCGTTCAGTTTATATGGCAGCTATATGATCCGATATCGGCGGCTCCGACAAATGAGCGGCTTCTTTAGAAGGAAAGAATATATATATAGTCGTTGACATTTCCTTATGGGTGTTACAAACTTTGTGGCAACGAAACAATCAATTTATTGAAGGTAACTTTTGGTGAGTGCTTTATCTCGCTTCGTGTGCCTGTGACGTGGCCTCCAAGATCGTGTGATTTAACAGCACTGGAATATCTTTTCTGAGCTTATGTGAAATCATTTGTCTACGCAGATAAGCCCAAGACGATTGACGCCTTGGGAGATACAGGTCCAATTGCTGCAAAAAGTGGTCGAAAATTGTGCCTCTCGAATGGAATTTATTCGAGCTAGCCGGTACGGTCACTTGCCCGAAATAATTTTTTAAACATAATAGCAAACCCTTATCTTTATAATAAAGCTAAATTCTTGGCCATAACATTAAGTTCTTCTTGAAAATCATATGTCTTAAAAAACAACACCCTTTATATAATATTGCAGAAGCTTGGGTTAGTTGGGTATACATATATACATTTTCTGAGTGATCTTGGCCTGTACGATGAGGTAAGGCACTGTTTTTAGCCAAATGAGACATTGATATGAATTGGAAGTACTTTGATATGATCTAAAGAAGCTTAGGTACATTTACCCCTTAAACTCAACGAACTACGTAACTTTGGTGTTCTTGGACATACAATTTTATATATACAAAGAATTTTATTGTTCGTCACTGAGAGAGATTTTTTATTAGATAATCTAAAAGTTCTTGCGAATTTTTTCCATAGGGAATATTGCTTTTTAAATTGTAGTAGAACATTTTTCGGAATATTAATTGCATTGTACATAGTTATTTCATTTGGAGACTTTAAGGTATTGTCTAGATAAATCTGGTGTTGTCAAATTGAATGAGTTTTTGGAAGTATAACCAAAAACTTTACGCGGAATTTTAATTTAAAAGTTTAGGGACGCATTAAAATGGCTATAAAAAGGAAATAAAAGTTGGTCTAGATAAAAGCGGTTTTAAAATTGATAGAAAAATATGCATACATACATATATATTTACAAGTCTGTAACAGATTATTATATATTTTTTAAAATGTTAATGAATATCTGAACATAATTTAAATTATTTTTCAAGGGAATGTGTATGTATGGTACAATTCTCAATACCATATTAAATTATAGCAAAACAAAAAGTTATTTGATTACTTCAAAACTACATTACTCGAATCATATACAATACAATCTTTTGGAAATATTTAATAATATTTAAAAATGTTTGCAATAAATATGTATATATTCTATAATATTTAGTAAAAAAAAGTATAAATATTTTGAGCTTAGATGAGCACGCAGCAGATGCAAAATGTTCGATGAATTACAAAACTTGCTGTGATAATTAAATTGAAGTTCTACACTACTAATAATGTATTACAGCATGAGACGAGCGAGCGCTGATTGCCTGAGAGACGATGTAAGTAAGATGAAACAACATGAAAACGTATGGTAAATACAGAAATAGTTCAATAAACGTAAATGAGGGAAAAAATATAGAATTATGAATAAAGCACAAAGAACTTGTCTGATTGGTTGCTGCAATTGGTCGCATTCAAAACATACGACTGTTCCCAATTATGCGATTATAGAACACACGAAAAACAGTAAAGAAACTTGAACTCAATAAAAACTTTGATTTGAAAAATGAAAGAAGTTAAAAAATAACAGAAAGAAAATGTAAGATTTTAAAATAGAATATTAAACAAGCACATATTGAAGCGCAAAAAAACAATCGAGAAAATCAAGAGCGAAATATACGAAATTGTATAAAAAGGAAATATTAGGTGTAAAGAAAGTAAGATAAAGAAAAGAACAAAAAGACGTCAGTAGTTTAGAAAACACTTAAAATTCATGAGCACAAGAAATTGCACTAATTTTCACTACAATTTTCACTAGACAACAAAAAGACATAATGATAAGAATAACGAATATTTTTGCTTGCTTTGAAATTTTCTATGTACGAATATGAATACTAATTTTGTCACATTTTCTTGTAATTTTATGTCATTTCTCTAAAAAAATGGTATTTTACGAGCTTTTACTATTTTCTTTCTGTTTTGCTTTATGTTTTGTTAGCGTATCCGCTTTGGTTTGTGTTTTTTGATGGGCCGCACAATAATGATGGTATCTGATATTTTATGGTTGCGCTGCATGGTCTCACTACAAACGGTTTACTTGCGAGTTGAGCGGTTTAAATACGATTACGATTACGAGTATTTTTTATGTATGTAGCTGCTTTTCGGTTACGTTTGGGAGTATAAGAATAAATAACTTATATTGGATATAACGAAACTGTTGACATAATGGTGAACATATTTATTGAAACTGGCCAAAAAATTAAAATTTAAAAAATTGCAATGAAATAAATGCTTATTGGTTAATATTTAGGTGCAAGGTGATGAATTAAGTGAGTTTTAATGCATTAGTACAGATATGAGAATGATGTAGGCTATAGAAACTTTTGTCCTCTGATGAAAAAATATTAAATTTTACAGCTATATAATTAATTAGTTCAGCATGGTCTACAATCGTTAACAATATATTATATATATATTTTATTTAGAAAATATGGTAAAGTAAATTTTTGGTTTTATTATTTTATAAAACAGTTTTTTGACAGCGACAAATTCCAAATGAGGAAATATAAAAATATATAAAAAAAATATAATAAAATTTAGCTCCGCATGCCGAATAAAAACAAGTTTTACCCGCGAAAATCTCCAACATCGTGCTCAAAACTTAAGATGAAAGGACAAAAATTTCCAAATATATATTGAATGAAAATAAAAACCTGAATTATAACTCAGTAGTTAATATTTCATATATGTAGCAAAAGTACAATTTAAGCTAAGAAGGAAATTGAAATTTTAAAGTTTTACGTGAGTTAGCAAAGAGAGAATATACAAAGAAATAGAGTAGTGAGTAGTAAATATATAAGTAAGAGTAAAAAGAGTGATCGAAATAGTTTTGAAACTTTGAAAGTCATATGTAGAAAATCAGTCAAAAAACTTATACAATTGTGGTTATTATGGTAAGCTAGGCTATATGTTTGCATAGAGGGTGATACAAATACAAGTTATTTGGAAAAAATAAAATATTACAAATTTTTTCATATTATTTTAAAGTAAATGCTATTGTTTCGATTATCATTTTTAAGCAACAGAAAACTTATTTTAACAAGTAAGGAAGTTCTAGGTTCGGGTGTAACCGAACATTTTATACTATATTTGATATACAGGATTTTCGTATATATTTTAATTAAAAGTAGGAAGTATTGCATTCATTATTTACAATCACAGGTAAGAAGATACACTGATCTTAGAAACAGATTATTTCGGAGTTTAATTAAGATTTCTTACATATTGACCGATAGAAGCGGTTTAAGATGAAAGTTCAAAAATATTTATAATAGGTATTTGGGGGCTAAGGGAAGTATTGACTCGATTTTACCCCATGCCCCAAAGGCATGCTGTTATCACAAAAATATTCTCCTCGAATATCAATCTAGAAATCACAGACTGGTAATTGGTATCGGTGTCGTTGAAAATTTATAGTTCGATTTCGACCATTTTTGGGTGTAAGATTAAATAACTTGAGGTTATTGACACTTTATAGGTTTTTGTTAAATGGCATTTTATGAACGTCGCAGTGGTCCGATTACGCCTATCTTCAATACCAACCCCCCTTGAGTGCCAAGGGATACGTGTACTAAGTTCATCAAGCTATACCCAATTTTTACTCAAGTTATCGCTTGCATGGACAGACGGACGAAAAGACAGTCACTCGGATTTCAACTCATCGCGTCGTCTCTTTCAGCAAAAAATATTTTTTTTAATAACCCGTTGTTTCATTTTGTGGAATATTACAGTTTTTCAATAGTTTTCAGATTTGTTTGGCTTAAATGGCTTGTCATTGTTACAAACTTGCATTAGCACCACCCTATGTATAAATTACAAATAGTTTAACTTGTGACTAAAATTTAGAAAAGTAGCAAAAACGAATGTCTGTAAGTGTGTGAATATCGAAGAAAACAACCAAAAAAAAAAAAAATTTTAATTTCAGCAAAATTAAAGCAAAACTATAACGCATATTAGATATTTATGGTATGTATGTGTGTGTGTGTGTGTGTAGAATTTTGGCCAATATATACGAGTATAAGTGAGTATAAGAAATTCATAACGGTATTAGTTAATATTACTGTTAATAGAATAATATAGTTTTCAACTTGTTAGTTAGTTGTGCTTTAAAGGCTGCATTTAATCAATTCAACTGCACAGCAACGAACTGAACAAAGGTGATTTTTAGTCAACATAATTGAACGATATGTAAAATGAATTACTTTCCAAACGATTTGCATTAAACTATTGAAAAAATTGCTTTGTCAAAACTTTGTAATAATTATTGAAACTAAACTAAATTCAATTAAACTAGAAAACTTGATAAAAATTCGTAATTTTTTGCTTCACTTCATAAATATAATACAAAATGAACACACTTATTTGTGTGTAGTGTGTAAACTTTTGCATTAAAAATATGAATTTAAGATTTTTCTCTTTATACGTTGAAAAAAGTATTTTGTTTTGTTTTGGTTTTAAATATAACGTTCTTATTTATCCCTGCTGTAACTCATAAAATAGCATTGTCCCGTCATTAGCTGCTTGGCCCATACCTAATGTACCTCGATTTGTCATCATCTTCACCACTCACGGCACCTGTGGGATCTCCGCTTTCGGCGACAGCGCCATCTGCGGCGACACCCTCACCAGCTTCGGCGCCACCTTTGCGCAGCCCCGGAATGGAGGGCATCGACGGCATGGCTGGCATTGATGGCATAGACATGGTAGGCATTGCCGGCATTGATGGAATTGAAGCGCTGGCACTGCCTAACCAGCCTTTGGCACTTCCCAACCAACCACTGTGGGGGAGAGGGAAAGAAAGAGATAGAGAGAGTTAGTTAAATTTTTAATTGCATTGTTTCGTAAAAGTTATACTTAATATTATTTATACTATAATTAATATAAAACAATGTAATACTTAAGTTATAACGATTATAATACACGTATACCCAGCATTGGAGTAATGATAAGTAAGAGATTGCCAGGGTTTATGAATGCGGTAAATCTCTTTGTTATTCATTAAATTTTTTGGTTTAACAGATATGCATATGGTATAGTATTATCAGAAGACAAGAAAAATATTTTAAAGAATTTCTTTTTATGTATATTGTAATAATATTTTTTCACATATTGTTCACAAAAAAAAACTTTATAAAAATAATGTCCGTTTCTGAGAATTCCAAAATTTGCTTTTTTTTTGTAATTTGATTGTTTGTATTTTCATTGAGAAAAAGTGGTAACATCACTCCACTATATGCTTAACCTCAAAACTTTTGGAAAGCATGTACATAAACTTTTGTAAATAGAAATTATTGCAAGTTTTTAACTCTTATTTCTTTATATTGTCCATCAAATGTTAAATCATAACTAGGTGGCAACCACAAAAACAATTTTTTTTTTTTATATTTACATTAGACAAAATTTCTCTAAATTAATATGAAAGAAACATTTTCAAATTTACAATAAAAAATACAAGAAAAAATGTTAATTGCGGTTGCATCGAAGCTATAATACCCTTCACAGATACAAAGGTTCCTTACAAGAACTTGATTCCGATTGTTCAATTTGTATGGCAGCTATATGTTATAGTGGTCCGATATCTGCCGTTGCGACAAATGAACAGCTTCTTAGTGAGGAAAGAACAGGTGCCTAATTTCGCGTATATATAGACAAACAGACAGACATGGCTAAATCAACTCAGCTCATCATACTGATCATTTATGTATATACATACTTGATAGAGTCGCCGACGCTTCCTTTTGGGTGTTACAAACTTCGTGTCAAACTTAATATACCCCCTTCAGTGTATAAAAAATTATGTACTTTTGATATGTTAATCATACGCCCTGTTGAACACATGAAATTGTATTTTAATGTATAAAATGCACACATAAACATTATTTTTGTTTAAAAGTGTAAAAATATACCACTCATTAACTTTGAACTTGTTTATATGCTTCACATTGTAAATATAAATATGTTTAAAAAGCTTATTAGCCCGTGTTTTATGTTTGCTTAAAAAACTAGTAAAACAGGTTACTCATACGCCATGTCCTCGAAGAATTTGAATTTTTTCTATTAAAGCTGTAAAATTTGCGCATCACATTATTCATTATCCAAAACCGCGTTGCTTATACGCCCCAGCCAAAATAAACAATGATATCATTAAAGCAGCATTGGCAACTGCGCACTTGCGGTTTGATTAATGTTGCCACATGAGATGGGTGTTCGCATGAATTCATCAGCAAATTACGCCTCAAAATGACCTTCAAACGACGTTTATTGCAATCAACATTGATTTTGACCTCTTTCATGGACACATACATACATGCATATGTTGTGTATGGGTAGCGCGTGGACAGGTGTATTGCATATGGTTAGCCTAATTACGGGGGCGTAAGCGATAGACAGGCGTTGGCAACGGCAACTTTCATTAAATTGTGTGGTTCAATTCGCTTCAATACACTTCACTTCATAATTAACGCATCCAATATTGCGCCGAACATGGCATTAAAATGTTAATGTGTGCATATGTATTCGTATGTATGTAGTATGTCTACGAATATAATGGCTGATCGAACAATTGTAAAATGTATTAAGCCATAAATGTGTTGCCATATGCGGATTATAAGCACGTAATTAGTCGTGCATACATTGGACACATGTTACTTAAAACTTGAAATGACTGCAAATTGGTCATAAAACGGCGCAGCTTTGATAAAGTTTATTTGCGAAATTTGCAACGATGAAAGTTCAAAAAAGTTGTGGCAAAAAAGTGGATAAACGAAGTAAAATTTATTGCAAATTTCTTTTTCTATTAGGGTGTCCGTTATTTACCAAGTGTTTCTTTTTTTTTGCAGACACCCTCTGAGTTTTGATTTTCGCCTTTATTCAATTTTACAAGGTGCATTCCAAAGTAAACAGGACTTAAAAAAAGACAGAACAAATGGTTTTATCGGCAAAATTAATTAATTTTATTCAAAATAGTCTCCTTCTGCTTTAATACAGCTTTTTGCACGGTCCAAAAGCATGTCGAACGAGTGTTTTAGCTCGTTGCCCGGTATGGCCGCCAGTATGCCGGTGCAAGCCTTTTGAATGGCCTCCACGTCTGCATAACGCTTTCCTTTCATCGGCAAATGCATTTTTCCGAAAAGGTAGAAGTCGCTCGGTGCCATATCAGGTGAATACGGGGAGTGGTTGATTGTTAAAATGTGATTTTTGGTCAAATAATCGGCCACAAGCGTCGATCGATGAGACGGCGCATTATCGTGCAACAAACGCCAACTTCAATCTTCGCGATATTCGGGCCGAACACGTCGAATACGGCGCACCAAACACTTCGAAACTCCAAGGTAGAATACCGCATTAACGTTTTGGCCGGGTGGAACAAATTCTTTGTGGACAATACCCTTGGAATCATAAAAACAAATCAGCATTGTCTTCACTTTTGACTTCTCCAGGCGCGATTTTTTGGGTTTCGGCTCATTTCTTATTTATATCTTCACGACCACTTTGAAAACGTTGAAACCAACGTTTCATCGCCATAAACTTGTTTCATCAATTGAAACGTTTCGGTAAAAGTTTTACCAATTTTAAAACAAAATTTAATGTTGGCTCTTTGTTCGAAGCTCATTTTCGCACCGATGACAAAAACATACTGACACTTAAAACGCAATAACTTCACTTCCAATAAATGAAATGTCATGAAATTTTTACTGAAAGTCGATAAAGGATACTAGATTCTAACGCACTAGTCGACATATAGATGGCGCCACTAGAGTTTACTTTGTTACTTTTTTACTGTTTACTTTGGAACGCCCTTGTATTATCAAAATAATCGTTCTGGTTATGGTTCTGGTGAGTGGTGCGGTAAATAAACAGGGTTCTGGTGCGAAGAAAATCCACAAATTATTCATGGATAATAATTTGATGTGGTTTTTGGTCTGGTGGAATTATCGGTCCATTCTTCTTTCGAAATAGAGCTGGTGCCGCCGTTGCTGTCAATGGAGAGTGATATAGATCGATGATAACCAAATTTTTATGGCCGCAATTGGAAGAAGTTGATCTTGACAAGATCAGGTTCCAACAAGACGGGGCTACGTGTCACACAGCACGTGCAACAACCGAATTCTTACGAGAAGTTTTGATTTAGCACCATTAGACTACGTCTCTACTGTGAATGTTTCAACAATAAATGAAAATACAAGTTTCTTTTTATTCTTTGATTTTGACTAGATTGATTAAAGACTAGAAATCAATTATAATAGTTTACAGAATACAAAACAGAGGTTACCAAACGTTTTTTGACAACGAAAAAAAATTTCTCAGCCTAGAAAGAATCGTAGCACAATTGCGCATGTGTCAGAGGATATGTTGTGCAGAGTTGCATCACCTGTTTGTTTGAACATCTGATATAGTTTGTTCGATTGGTTATTCTCCAGCGCTTGGCAAGATGAAGACAGCTAATAATAAGTTATCCAATTAAATTTAAAACAGGAACGCCTTAAGTGGGCTTTATTTGATTTATGCCAGTCATTATTTTGTAAGTTGGTAATTTTGGGATGTACATATATACAAAATATTTGCATTTGTATATATACATATGTATGTTTGTAAGTACGTTAAATCGGCATTATACTCGTACAATTATTAAAGTCGGAAACTAGGTTGAACCGTGTCGCTGTTTGCCTTTCGTCTAGTCGAAACGTTTTGTCTGACCTTTTTATTAAACAATGAAGTCTGCCTGAGCTAACATGCTATACAATTCCATACTTGTAGATATGTATGTATATATCCTTGTACATACCATAAAATAACTCAAAAAGGATGCATTTGTTAGTGCTCTAACATTAGTTAGTTTTCAACAATTTTGAAAGTCTTCACAGCAAACATTTTTAGTATAATCATACCATTTTTGCTCGGGACAGACATATAAGTATATTTCTAATTTTTTGTATATATTTTTTATTTAACTTTTAACTAATGCTGATATTTCTCCGAATAGAAGGTAGAAGTCGAAGTCGTAGAAGTTGAAAATGTTTAGTTTTCCTTGCACTGAAAGGAGGGAATGCTAATGTCGCATTTCGAATATACTCTTATCTAACAAATGATTTCGTGCTGTAACGTTTTTTTACTGCACACATTGAGGGTGAATATATTCTCAACGGAAGCGGTCCATCTCTGCTGCTAAGCTCGCTTCGTTGATTGCCTGCTTCTTTCAAATGTTGCACTGTCAGCCACTTGCAATATGGGGCAAATATTATATAAATGCTAGGTCGTAACAAGTGAAATTTGTATATACGTACACACATATACATACATACATATTACTCAGAAGGAGTCATGAAGCTAACGACACATTTGCGCTCTGCTGCAACGCTGCGGTAATGCAGCTAAAGAAATGCTTAAATTGCTGACAGCTGCATCTTGGCATTGTAGTAACCAAAAATAAACAAAAAACAAGTGAAGAAATATAAAATTAATGCGAAACAAATAAGATTTGGTAGGGTTGCTTGGATTATCCACCAGAGATATCTTGACCAGCAACGAGGGAGCGATATAGATACATACATAAAATGTAAAAAAAATTAAAACTAAAAGGGTCTTGTGGCATTTCTAAGACTTGATACAACGTTTGATACACTGTAATTTATTTTAGATAAGTTTTAAGTGAACTTTTGAAAATGTACATATTTATGTGTGATGAAATGGGGATGTTAATACAATCCCACGGTTGAAAAATATATTTGGAAAAATGGATTATAGATTATAAAGTTTCTCGTTGTAGTCAAATGTGCTA